TGACAAGTTCACAGGATTCCAAGTTTTTCCCAGGCCTTAGCAATGTAATGCTGAAATTGCAAAAGCTTGACTCAAAGGTTGCTTCTGATAGGAGAAATGTCATGATTGTATTCTGAATACATTTTGAGCTCAGAGCTTAATAAAATGATAGTGTAAACTGTAAATTTGGTGATCTTACAGAAATTTTACACATGTAAAGGAAAGAATTTTAAATGCATATTTTAATGTGCCCTTTAAGAGGAATGGGGGGATATTAATTTCTATTGAACAATTTTAGTCTGTGCAAGTTTAAAAAAAAATGTTGTCATATTCCTCTTTTTGTTGGAGATATTATTCTGATGTCTTTGCTTTTATTAATTTAGGAGTCAGTATTAGTGACACCCAAGGGCCAGATGTATTCACCACAGAATTAAATGAGAGTGACTACCCAGGACTCCAGAGGAACCAGCAACAAGGGGGGACAACTGAGGGATCAGGTACAGGGTCAAATATTTATTGTGTGTTTCTTTATAAAATTTTTGAAAAAAATAGTTGTTATAAATAGTATTAATGATTTGACTTATACAGGTTCACAGGATAGTCAGAATGGTGCACAACAGGATACCAACTCGGAGTTTGGTAGTGAAATGTCAGCCAACACAAAGAAAAGGAAGCATCGAAAGAAAAATTTTATCAAACGTAACAAAGAGGTGAGGATATACATGTAGTACAAATTACTTTTTTTATTATGATTATAGATGCTGAAATGTTTTGATTTTAAGTCTGTTATTTCTATTGTTATAAATGTTGTAAATAACCTAGCTAGTATTTTTAAAGGAAAGGGATAGCAAGATTTTGAACTTTGACATGTTTACAACTTGGAAGTTAACTTGTCTTTTAGAAATTTTTGAAAACCATTGAAAAAGAATTTTTCTTTTAATTCTCAGTTAGCTAAAGATGCTGGAAGTGAAGTTGCTATGACTGATGAAGAGAAGATCAGAGTTGGTGAATTACTGAAGGATCTGGATGATCTTCCAGAAATACTGGAAGATGAGGTATGATTTTAATTATGAAGGTATGGTTATCTCCTTGTCATATTATTTGATTTTGCAATGTCATATACTGTTTATATTGTTGTTGCCTGTATTATGAATGCTTGTGTTCTGTTGTAGTATTATATCAAAGAAAAAGACTTCCTTTAATGTAAATTTTCCTTAAAATTACATACATTATATAATGAAAAAGAATATTTGCTAGAAGTGAATTCAAAAGTTCAAATCTAGGACTGAGTATGTAAGAATGTTGTGCACATATCAGATATGGAGAATAAAATTTTGTGGTTCTGTATCAGTGTTAATATATTGGTTGTACTTTAGGATGGTGCTGAGAGTGGTTACCAAGTAGTGGTACATCCAGGTGAGGGATTCTGTCCTGACCCCGAGGAAATGAGGGTACTTGATGGAATTGACAGTCGATTAAAAGAGCTTCTTCCTCCTGAGGAATTTGAGGAAGTGTCAGCTCGTCATTCACAAAATGTTAGTACAACATGTACTTCTTTATAGGTGACATTATTACATATGTATCGTACATCTTCCATAATTGATCAATTTATTTATTTTTTTATTTTTTTTTTTTTTTGAATTTTTGAAATATCCAATCAAGAATCCTGATCCAACTTCAATAAGGAAAATACAAATTTTTGTTTTCATTTCTTAAAGATAAGATTTTATAAGTGTTGTTATTGTCACATGACTAGACCTGGAATTTTTGTTTTCTGCAAGATAATTGTAGGAAAAAAAATGGTTTTAATAGAAAAGACTCGTTGACTACTTTTCAGTCTATTTTGATTCACTTCATCAAAAGAATCTTTTGCTGATTTCTTTTCTTTTTTTTTAAATTGTACACCATTTTGTGTCGATCTTTCAAATCACTTGCATATTTTGCATGTATGTTGTCTAAAACTGTATAGTAAAAACACCAATTTTTTTAGCTATTATATGTTTTTGTTCACATATCAGCACCATAAAAAGCTTTTCACACCAGTTGGGTTTAAAAACTTGTCCAGTTTTGAACATTTTGGAGAACGAGCTTTACTAGAGAATAAAGAACAAAGAGATATGCAAGCACGCCTCCATAGAATTGAGGAGGAACTCGCCAAACTTCACAACCCAGAGGAACTAGAGGTAAAGGCGTACTGCATGTTCACTGTGATGTCACTAGTGTAGGGTAGATGCATGTCAGAAACTGTAATCTGTATTCTTGTTATCAAGTTTTTGCCTGTATTTTGACACTGTCATGTATAATTTTTCTGTTATTACAAGTACATAATAATGAAATAGATATATAATATTTTAAAGTAAGTTATTCTGTGCAGCTTGACACTCCTGACACTTTGTCTGGAGACCAGTTGAATGATCTTTTGGACCAGTGTGCCAGATCTCTGTCTCGCTCAACTCTCATGGGAACAGATTCTAGGATATCTCATCGAGATGCAGAATCTCGTGATACTCAGAGATCAGCAGTGTCTTCCCGAGCGTCATTGCCTGAGTCTGACGCAGATTCCATGTACCTTCCCGCAGACGATACTACACCAAGGTATCATGCCTGACTTGAAATTTTACAGCAATATCATATAACTATTAAGAAAACCACAGGCATGTATGTTCTCTTTGTATACCAAATTTCAAGCAAGTTTCCTGTGTATTGAACTTAATAATACAATCAAAAATTCATGTCATTTTGGGATTTTTTCCACTAAGTACTGATGTAACTGTACTAACTTATATTTTACATGTTGAAGAGAAAATTAGTGACACATTGTTCTATAAGATGCAGATATATAAAAATAGTTACAGTAACACAGAAAAAGGGAACAACATGCTGTATCTTACAAGTCTTCTGAAATTGAGTTCAGTAGATTGATTCAAGACAAGTTTGAAGAAACTGTTAATGATGGGTTCTAGCATAGTAAGAGAAATTTTAAGAGAGATTACTTAATTTTTAGGAGCCAAAGATCAGCTAGAGAGTTGCTGATGGAGAACCCCCCTAAGCTATCAGAGGAGGATCTCCAGAAGTTGTTGTCTGATGCACACTTCCCCCTAAAGAGCCGACTGTCTACTCTGATGGAGGAGGAGGAAGAAACAGGTGAGGGAGGGACTTTCTATGCATTATATTCTTAATTTTGAAGACAAGTTATTTTCAAATTTTCCTTTCCTTATTAATTTATGAAAAATTTAAATAATTCAGTTGACTATAATCATTTAATGAACATTTTCGCCACAGCAAGAACACCCCAGATATTATTTCCAGTTTTAAAAATATTTAGTTTAATTAAGCTACATCACCTTGGATATTGCATGTCATATAATTTATTGCAGATGTTGAGTCCAGGCCTACATCTATTACTGCCGAGACGTGGAAGTTAATATCCCAAGAAAAAACAGATATTAATGATCAGAATGAAACCGACAGAAATGTTCATAGTAGTAACCTTTTCTCAAGTGTGTCAGACACTGATCGCAACAGTTCAAGAAACTCTCAAATACCAGTGTTACCGGAGATAAACCGATCTGGCAGTCTGATAGCTCAGTGGAACAACGAACGACCACCGAGTAGCCAGAGTCGGAATAGTTCTGTGTTGACAATAAGAAACAGTTTAAATGCTGCCCTGGTCAGTGACAGTATAGAAATAATGTCTGTTGGGAGTGAGAGTGTGGCTTCCACACCCCGCCCTCCAAGTGGTGAAAAACCCAGTAGTATGTCCCACAGAGCAAGAATAGAGAAAAATATCATCCAGTCATCCTGAATGTTCTAGGCATTTTATTTTTTTTAAAACCATTTTTTTGGACAGGGAATTATTGTCCTCTATTGTTTGTATTTATTAAATATTTTTAAATCTATCTTTCATTTTCTTCATATTTGTTTATTTTACACTAGTGTACAAATTATATAAAAGCTTCATAGTACGTTTCCATTCAAAAATAAAGCAATAAAAATTTTCAGATTTTCCCATTCATGTTCAAAAATCATTTTAAATGGCTTTGACAAACCCATTTCCCACTAAATATGCTTTAATACTCAATTTCAAAAACAAATTATCAGTCAATACCAAATGTTATTCAATAAAATAAATAAATCATATATGTTAAAGATGACTGACAATTAACATTTTTTTTGAAAAAATAAACCTTTTCCATTTTAGGAAAGATATTGTCTCAGAGTAGAGGATTGCTCTTACCTTGTATGCCCCCATTCTTTTTGGAGCTGGTTCATGCAGATATAACTGTAAGCAAAGTGCTCGCCAAACTTGCAAAGATGATGCATCTAAAGGATGCATAGTTGCATACTACTAGACTTGCTTGGGATTCTGGATTTGACCTACATTTTGCAGATGAGTGTCCTCGATGAAGTTTTTAAAGCAGGTTGATTCCCAAATAAGTGCACATGTACACTATAGGCATTACGATACCTAAATTTTGCATCCTGGATGATGCATCGAAAGATGCACACTATCAGACTTACTTTAGACGCTGGATCTGACCTACTTTTTGGATGATTAAATAGATTAATTTTTGGGGTGCAGATCTATTTCCAGGTATTTTTTAGTTTTCCCTGGACCAAATTTGCAGGAATGTTGACCCTAAGGTTACTCACTACCTGACTTTCTCTGGTTGCAGGATCTGACCTACATTTTCTAGGTGAGTAAAGAGGTTCAAGTTTTAGGGGCAGATCCATTCCCAAGTAACTATGGGTTTTACCTGGACCAATGTTGCATGGATAATATATCTAAGGATGCAGTTTATGATGCTGGATCTGGCTTACATTTTCCGGATGACTGAACAGTAAAACTTTTGGAGCAGGTAACTATAAATCCTAGCCAAACCAAACTGATGTTACAACTAGCTATAGAGAAGCAGCTTCAGAAATATCATTCATGGGCTACTTTGCTTTTACTTATTGATAACATTTGTCGAGGTGATCTTTGATTACCTATGTTTGATTCTACATGCAGGAAACCCAAATTAAAAAGATGGTAAATTTAATTTAATTCAGTTTTTTCATCTGCCAAGGCACATAGGGGTGGGAGGAGGATTTCCGTTGTATATTTCTCTGAAATCACATGCACCAATTTGTGCTACACCATCTGAGGTGTAACCTAAAATACAAAAAAAAAACTCTTATTATTACAATGGAAAAAATACATTGGAAAAAATCTGGCTATATTGTATGAAGTAAAAAATGTTCCCATCTATATTTATTTTCAAACATTACCTCCAAGAATATAGGTTTGTCCATTTTCCAGACCCACTCCACATTCCTCAGGGCTTCTCGTGTAAATCTCTGTGGGTGCATCTCCTGTCTACAATTACGTAAAGAAGATCATTTATTTGCTGGTGGCAATGTAAACGTTTGTTTGTTTAACGGCCCTTTCAAGAATTTTTCACTCATATTGAGACGCCACCACTTTCCGGTGGAAGGTTGCAAATTTAGACCTATACTTGGCACTGAGGGCCATTGAGCAGTAAGGGATCTTTTTTGTGCCAGCACCTACTGGGACACTGGACCTCAGTTTATAAAAAAAAGAAAAAAAGAACCGGTCTCTACGTCTAGCAGTGGGATTTGAATCTGCGAGATAAGTATCAACTCCTTACTCCGCGACTCTACAGCATACGATCTAACCACTGCGCCACGCGGGCGACGCAATGTAAATATCGTTATGTTTTGACCATCCTGACAACGTCAGTGACCCTGGATCCATACGTGATCATGGGACCCCTGACAAAGTTTAGTTGATATTTTACGGGCTAACTGCAGCGACATCTTTGGAGGAAATGACATAAAAGTTTTTCATTAGATATTTCAATTCAAGGGTTGACTGCAGCGACATCTTTTGGGGAAATTACATAATAAAGTTTTTCTTATATCGAACAATCACAATAAGCCTTTTCATTGTGAACAACTTGGAATACGTGCATTGAGGTGTGTTATGTCAACTTATGAAAGCTCCAATTTGACTGGTGCTCTCAATGAGAGAACCAAGCCCGTGTAGATCCAAATGAATCCAAATGAAATTTGTCAGGGGTCCCACGACCATGTTGACTCAGTACCCCTGATGTTGTGAGGATGTATTTTGACAATCTATGTACCGACCTGTGAAAACCCTAACGTGATTTGTTTTAGGGAACTGAAAGCATTATATTTGAAAGAAATCATCATATATGGCAGAAAGTTTTGACTTCTGTTTCGAAAATAATTTTTTAACTATTAGATCATAGCAGGGACGCTTCCTGAAAACATTTTTAGAATTGATTTGATAATTGATAAAACAATTAAAATATTGACGGGTAATTACAGACCGATATATACAGCAACTGTGTAATTAATTTTTTTTTTTTCAAAAAAGTTATCAGTATTTTTGAATGACCCTCGAAGATGACTAAAGTTTAATTTATAAAGTGAGGGTACTAGTAGGCTAGTAGCCACCAGCACATGTTGATCTTACTTATATCTATAATTACCTTGTAGTTTTTTTGGACGTCCAATGTATATCTGTAATCAATTGATGGATCTTCCTTCACAGTTGCAATAACAGCTGAATAATGCAAACACATTATAATAACATTAAAACTGAAAGGATGAAACGATAGAAGATTATTTACCACTTTGTTTATTGTGTATGCTTGCTACATGCGAAAAGAACAAACTCAGAGGAAAATGCCTAAACAATTTCAAAAGATGTAAATGAAACTCTGCTTGGTGTTCTGGCACTTATTTATAAGGAAATATTTGTACATTTATTTGATCAATGTTTTATGTAAAACACCTTTCTTTTAGTCACATTTTTATTTCTGACAAATACGAGAGGGAAAAAATGCAAGCTATAAAATTAGTAAATCATATTCATTTATGAATGTCTGCGAATTTGATAAATGCTTTAATATGAATTTGATTCCACTTTTTCATTTGGTTTTCTGGCAAATTCACCAGCGAGAGAGAGAGAGGGGGGATGTTTTTAATGACCATTCTATTTTGACTGAAATATTTTAAATGGATGAAGATTATTTGATCATTTCTCAAATTTTCCTCTTTTTTATTTATCTAAAATTCTGTATCTAAATTTTGAGTTTAAATGAACTTTGCATGTGAAATCAATAACGTTTTAAAACAGTCGTAATATGTTTGATAAGGAAAGTTAAATTCGGTGATCTATACAGCATACATGTAAACAGTTCGAATATATTTTAGGAATAATTGTCTTGGTTTTATGATGTGATCAATCAATTTGCACGCGTGATAATTCGCATAAAGGCCTAAGGCGTTTATGAGTAAAATTATCACGCAAGCAAACTGATCATCATTATAAAAAAAAGCAATTATTCCTTACATTTACATTTTTACCTGATCCTTGATTCAATTAAAAAAAATCAATAATAAGAAATCTCAGCATCCCCGCCAAGAGTATTATTAAGCAACACGCAGCGAAAAAGAATGCAGTTCTGTCACGTGCTGAGCAAATCCATTTAGGGGGTTATAAAGCCATTATACCTTATTTGTAGTTTTTTCTTAGAGAAAGACATTGGAAAATGTAAATATATAGAAATATTTGGTTTACCATAGTCAGCGTTACATATGGCGCCATCAAAAGTGAGCGTAGTTGGACACCGGCAGGCCTCAGTCAGATAAACACACAAGGCCAGTGAGAAAGAGATAAGAGGAGTCCTTGTATGCAACATGGTTTTGCTTTTGCAAAGAGATAGATTGATGACTTGATTTAATATTGAGACAATTAAGCTGTACAGCTGTATATAAATTTATTATTATTTTTCTATGATTCATTGTCAAATTCTGCAGAAAGGTAAACTATAGGAAGATTTGTAACAGTTTGGAAAATGAAGACACTGATATCCAATTTTAATTAAAATTACACATGTATTTATCATCTGATAAGAGAGCCAAGAGAACATCAAAATACCCATTTTCTCAAAAGTTATGTCCCTTCTGTTACAGATTACACAACGACAAATTAAAGAACATGTATATTTCAATATTATCCAGAAACAAAGTGTAACAAGATACAAGTTTTAAGAGCTTTGACTTTTACATCAGCAAGGATATATAGAGTATTATTGAAGTGAATACAGAATCCAAATTATATCATACATGAACTTGTGATTTTTACCTCTTTCTTTGGACTCAAAAACAATAGGAGTCAAATTAGAAAGTCAATTTATGCCAACTACATTAACATTATATTCTTAAATCATAAACGAACTTTTTGTTATTAGGAAATTTTTTTCTCGCCTTCCTTTCATTTGTTTGTAATTTGGTTGAAAAGGGAAAAAAGTTTTTTGCTTGTATTCCATAGCAACTCAATCAAAATTAAATTAATCTACAACTTACCTTTGAATATCTGCCCCCAGTTGTAAACGACAAATTCGCAGTGCCCCGTTATACTCACTTATATAAGACAAGTGTGATTGACTGAAGTATTTTCGGTCCAATTATTTAGTAATTTCATGTTTACTAAAGATGTAATATTTTCTAGCACGTACAATGCTTCATCACATGAATAGTTTGATAATTTAGCAATTCACATACAAAAAAAGAGTATATAATAGACTTTTTGACGATTAAATAGCAAATTTAAGTACGTAATAATACATATAATAGCAGGGCAACCATCATAAAAATAATTGTAATTGAATATAACATTCATAACATTTCAGAGAGAGAGAGAAACAAACAAAATAGATAACTGATATTTAAGTTTGTTAAACATGTTGAATTAACTCAAATGTCAAAAAATTCTCAATGATTTTAATTCGGTCCTAAAATATACATGTACGTAATTGTTGTCAGTATGTCAGGTCATGAAAACGTGAACTTAGTAAACCTTAACAGTAACCCCAAGTAGAAAGCAAGATGAACATTACACAAGTTTTTATACCCCCACTCCCCACCCCCCACCCCTACAAACGAAGTTTAGGGGTGGTGGTGGTACATGTATATTGGAATCAGCATGTTCGTCTGTCTGAACAAAAAATGTGAATTGCAGCTTAAAACTACTCATCAAAACTAAAAAAAAAAATCACCAAGTATTAAAAAAAAAAATCACCAAGTATTAAAAAAAAAGTTTTTTGTTAGGTAGTCCCTACAAATCTAAGCGAACCTTATTAAACAAGATGTGTTTGTGAAACACTGATGCCCCCGTATGGCAACTTATAGCAAAGGTTAAACTTTCTCAAATGCAAATCAAATATGTTGGTATCCAAAGTGAGGTCTTGTCTCGAGGAATATACCTGTGAAATATGAAAGTCCTAGCAGCAACCATTGAATAGATATGGAGAAGGTTAAAGTTTTTCAAACGCAATTCAAACATCAAGGTCAAGGTCAAAATTAATGGTGCCTAAGGAAAGGCCTTCTCACAAGAAATATACAGGTGAAATATGAAAGCTAAAGCACCAATCGTTCAAAAGTTATGACCAAGGTTAAAGTGCTTCAAAAGTAGGTCAAACTCCAAGGTCTAGGTCAATGGATTACAAATGTTGGTATCCAAATGAAGGTCTTGTCACAAGGAAAAAACATGTTAAATATGAAAGACCTAGCAACAACTTTTCAAAAGTTGTGGCCAAGGTTAAAGTTTTCGAAAAGTAGGTCAAAGTCCAAGGTCAAAGGGTCAAAGTTGTTGGTATCCAAAGGAAGGTCTTGTCACAAGGATAATATATGTGAAGTATGAAAGTCCTAGCATCAACGGTTCAAAAGTTATGGCCAAGGTTAAAGTTTTCCAAAAGTAGGTCAAACTCCAAGGTCAAAGGGTCAAAGTTGTTTGTATCCAAAGAAAGGTCTTGTCACAAGGATTCGCGTGTGAAGTATGAAAGCCCTAGCTTCAGCGATTCAAAAGTTATGGCCAATGTTACAGTTTTTTAAAAGTAGGTCAAACTCCAAGATCAAGGTCAAAGGGTCCAAATTGTTGGAATCCAAAGGATGGTCTTGTCACAAGGATTACATATGCTAGGTATGAAAGCCTTAGCTCCAACCGTTCAAAAGTTATGGTCAATGTTAAATTTTTTCAAAATTAGGTCAAACTTTAAGGTCAAGGTCAAATATGGTGGTACCCAAAGAAAGGTCTTGTCAAAGGAATACACAATTTAAATATGAAAGCCATAGCTCCAACCAATCAAAAGTTATTGGCAATGTTAAAGTTTTTGCGGACAAACAGACAGACGGACGGACAGGGCAAAAACTATATACCCCCCAATCTTCGATACGGGGGCATAAAAATGTGGCATCAAGATTACACAGTTCTTTTTTTCATTAATCATTATATATAAGCTTTGTATAACAAATTTAAAAAAAAGTCTTTGTTTTCAACAGAATGACATGTTTATACATTTTCTATTGTACTACAGACGTACGGTTCATTACACAGCAGAAAGTGAAATTCATTTGTCCTTTGGGAGTTATGAGTGGTTATGCATCCAGTTAAAGATTAATTAATGAGTTCAATGTGGGAAGTTGTCAGAGCATCTTTTATCTAGCAGGTGTTATTTATATATATATTTATATATATACATATATATCCTGGGAACTGGGCAGAAGAATTCAAGATCTCTGTTCTCTAGCTCTCTTAATTGTAATTTATAGTCTGTAAAATTAAAATACAATAGTCACTGGTTGACCAGCCTTTTATTTTTAAAATGAATTTGGTATAAAGTTATCAAGAAAAATTTGATATTGTATACTATGATTTTTTTTTCAACAAATTGCAGAGCGTCTCACACAAAGATGACAGATGGTTGCAATTTATATTTTACATATATATATATATATATATATATATATATATATATATATATATATATATATATATATATATATATACATATTATTTATATATTAGTATTGAAGTTTTATTAGGCTGCGCCTTAGTTCATCATTCATAAAAAAAAAGTGTAACGAGCAATTGAATTTTCACTCTAAATATTTAAACACATTGTGAACACCTCTTAAATCCATAAAATATGTTCAATGACTTGACACCTTTTCTGGAAAACCCAGCAAGGGTTTCCAAAAGACAGTGGAATTAATTCTTTTAATAAACTTTAACAATTTCCCAACCCTCGGTCATAAGTTTACCTAACTCATCGCCGTCGCCAAGTATGACGTCAAGCTTCTGACTTTTCAGTTTGTTGGTCTACCAAAAGTTTCTTCCATTAAATAACCATCCAAGCCATCCGTGAACCTCTTGAACTAGGTATAAATCTGTATCCGTGATATATATTTGTGTTGTTCCGTAGTTTACATATTTTTTCCCGTATGGACAGGAGTCATATACCGCTCAACAGTTCTGCTTGATAATTTGGTGCTTCGCATCATCGCCCGACGTCACTATTTTTGACAATATTTAAGTAAAGGTACTTTTGCATCTAACGTCATATTTTTGTCACTTGTACGCTAAATTAATGAATTTTTACACATGAGTACTTCAGATCATAGAGTTTTTATGGAGACATTTTTTTCACATTATATTTCCGTATAGCCTGGAAAAAAAGAAAAATTCACTGACAATGGTATTTTTAAAACTCCAAAAATTGCCGTGCGCCGAGCACTGACATTTGAGACCTTTTAAAACTTATTTTCACATGCGTATGAGATTACAGCATGATAATGTTTTGTCAAAATAGCAAAAATCTCATTTCCCAACAAGGTGCAAAAAATTATTTATTTCGGTCAAATAGTTTTTGAAATATTCAAAAAGTTCACTTTTTTTCTGGGACAACCCTTGTACAAACAAGACTTAATTTTTTGCATTTAATGAAAGTTACAGCGCAGATTAAAGCTTTGAAAACTGCATTAAACTTCAAGATCAATGTCATGAGGTCAAATATTATAATACAGTCCGAAAGGTCTCGTCACAAGGAATGTACATGTGGGTAAAAAAAAATACCGGTATGAAAGCCCTGTCTCTTCTGAAACAAAAGTACGACCAAAGTTATAATTTTGAAAAGTAGGTCAAATGTCAAGGTTACGGGGTAAAAAAGTACATTTGGAAACGTCTTGTCACAGGTAATGAACATGTCGAATAAGAATGTCCTCTCTCCTCTTTTTCTAAAGTTTGCAGCAATGATAAAATTTGTGAAAATTAGGTTAAACTTTAAGATCAAGGTCACGGGGTCAAATATCATAGCACATTTCGAAACTTCTTGTCATAGGTAGTGCACTTGTCAAATATGAACGCCCTATCTTCTCTCTTTCACAAGTTATTACCAGTTCAAACGTTTTGAAAATTAGGTTAAACTTCAAGATCAAGGTCACGGGGTTAGAAATCATAGGATGTTTGGAAACGTTTTGTCACAGGTAATGCACATGTCAAATTGACTGCTCTATCTTCTCTCATTCAAAAGCTATAGCCAATGTTCAAAATATTTGAAAAGTAGGTCAAACTTCAAGGTCAAGGGGTCAAAAACCATAGTACATTTTAAAATGTCTTATCACACGTAATGTACATTCGAAATATAAAAGCTCTATCTCTTTTCATTCAAAAGTTATGAGCAAGGTAAAAGTAATGTTAAAATTTTTGAAAAGTTGGTCAAATTTTAAGGTCACGGGATCAAAAAATCACAGTATATTTGGAAAGGTCTTGTCACAGATAATGTTCATGTGAAATATGAAAGCCCTATCTTTTCTCATTCATAAAATATGATTAAATTTAAATTAAAATTACATTTACTGTTGTAAAAGCAGGGAGCAATAAAAGCATTCGCAATCAGCACAGGGACATAAATAACATTACAGTATTTTGTTATGTATCTGGTAAGCATAGTTTCATAATTTTAATAATTTTAAACACTTTTTAAACGTCAAGCAGAGGTTGTAAACCCAGAGCCTCCCACCCCAATTCCTTCCCTTCTAAAACCGTCACTGAGTTAAAGTACCTCCTAACTCTACCAAACTGAAAAACACTTAAACTTGAAAACATTCCCTTTCTCCAACTTCGTTAGCGAGGTTAAAGTTCTGATCATAGCAAGACTGTATTTTAACCTTTTTATTAATCTCATCAATTAGATTTGTTTCAAAACAGTTTAATGTTTGAAATCAAGTGTGCAAATTCATTTTCCACGAAGAATTACAGATGTACATCGTTGAAAAGGTTTCCATTCATATCTCTGGGGTCTGACAGTGACCGTTGTTGGCTGATGAAGCTGCTGTCGACTGAGTAATGGGCACCATTTGTCTGAAGAAGCCGTGTTCCTGTCCATACCAAAATGGACTCTCCATCCAAGTAGTCCTGGAAAGGCTAGGATTAAAAGACGTCGATCCACTGGGATACAGTCCAGCATGCGATACCGGTCTTAGTGTGGTATATGTGGGCTCACAGAGACAAGAACTGGGCTGTACACAAGGGGATCGGTTGAGTCCTTGAGTGGCTGTCTGGATTGTTGTGCACGTCTGTGCTTTCAGTGTGTTCTTATCAGTTGCTGGTGCTTCGTGCGCGCCTGTGGTCGTGTCCATTGTCCGAGAAACCACATTCCTTGTGATATTCATATAACTTTTCATTTGTGAGTTATCTTCAATATAAAATGAAAAAAAAAATTAAGATATATCAAACGACCGCTCTTACTAGAACACAACCACTCATTAAAATTTTATCGTCTAAAATATAAATATAATCTTACATGCCGTCTTTGTTTGCATGGCTCTGACGTAGTTTGGAGATGGTGTAAGATTAGGGAGTGTTACACTGATATGATGAGACTCCTTTAACGACTGGTTGTTACTTGGATTTAGGAGCCTTAGATAGGGATGTGGTCTGGTACTATGTAATTGTAAAAATGGCAGTGGTGGACCAGTTACTGTACCTTCAAAAGTAAATAATGGAATTATAGATGTATTAAGTATTATATTTAATTGGTTGTAGACAATTTACTGCTGTATTTCTTGATCCATCAAGCATGATCGGGGGGAGGGGGTATATATATTCACAGAATTTCAATATGCTCAGTTTCTTGATCTTTAACTGTATAGTTTCTTTTTCACATGTGAAATAGATTATATATTGGGATATATATAAGTAATACTTAATAGAATGATGACCGATATAATATTATACTAGGGGGCGAATCGAGGAATTTTTAGGGATGGATGTCATTTAGCCAATAGCATACAAGTTCTAAACCAGAATTCAAGTAAATTACCATACGATAGGAATGTATATATAGGAATGATCAGTATGACTTAGTGGAGTAGCTAGCTGACATTAGTGACATACAATGTAGTTGTGTCCCAGATAAATCATGTTTTTATCCAGCATCCCATTACCCAATTCATTATATAGCGACAAGTCTTATACTAATACTATGTCTCAGAGATGATCAATCAATCCAATATTCAGTTGATAAATCATATTACATGTACTACATGCCATTTATCAATTTAATTAAGTATATTGAAGAATTCTTGTATTTATATAAAGAGGAAAACGGCTTATTCAAAGCTGTTCAAGAAGCAAATCAATTATCACACTTAAGGTCAGACGACATGTTCCTCAATAATATATATTTCCCCCCAGAATTTGTCATTGAAATATTGCTAATTTAACATGATTTCTCAAAAAATCGAGGTACTTTACCAGGCATTTGTGCAAGATACCGGAGGGTTATGTTTCCTATATAATCATATATAATCCTTTTTGGTAATCTTTCGAATTGCCAGTATCACAATTTTGGGTTAATTTTAAAGACATTTTGAAAACAATTTACAAAAAAACAAGAGAGTGACAATTATTAATATTTTTTTGAAAAATCACGTAGAGATACAAGTAGATATTTGTGGAACGTGTCATGAGACCTTAAGTAGCTCTTAAAAATGCTTTTATGTCCCTGCGTTTCATTATACATTTTATTGGAATTTTAAAGTGGCTACTTTTTCAGATAAAAAATAAATGAAAAAAAACTCTATTGAAGCTTTTGTTGCTCAATTTTATGTTCACTGATGTCAGAGAAAATCTATTTGGCCGCTACTCAGAATGTGTACATGTATGTGTGTAAGTTCGATTTTTTTTTCCAGCCCGAAGATTATGGCACAGAACAGAACAAAGCTCCCTTCCTCCTCTTGGTCCCCTTTGTCAAACAACAAACGGTTTCACATATAATGTGCTTTGCTTCATCTTTTAGTAAAATAACCCTCCCCCCTCCTTTCACACACTCACACACAAATTCGCCATTTAATAATAGAATTGAATATATTGAATGTACATTTTAAAAAAGTATTCCCTTGACTGCCATCTTTGGGGAAAACCACTGGCACTTGTTAATTTCTGTCATATTTTCTTTTAAGCCATAGTATAATAATAACACATGGTATAACCGACTGGAAAATTCAAATCACACCATGAAAAAGTACCAAGTACCACGTACTTGGTAGAATCTTTTAGAAACTTGTGTAAATAACAGGAAGGAATAAAAAGAAAGGCAAATATTTGAACTCAAGTTTAGGTCCTGAACTTTAGACAACATTTTTTCTACGTATGGACAATTTCTAAAACGAGGTAAATTATTGACAAACAAGTTGATGAAACAAGAATATCAGCTGTCTCGTTTAAAGTCATCATTTCGTAAGTTCTATGGTCGATACAATGACCTTGTCAGCAAATACAATTTATCATTGAGTCAAATGCTGACTGACGTTTTTCATACTAATTGTTAGGCCATTATTTACACACTGAATTGTCGACGGATTTTTCCGTTATTTCCCGATCATGACAAGGAGCACACAGCGGGTGTGACTTGTCGGCAGGGGATGCTCACTCCTCCATGGCACCTGATCCCACCTCTGATGTTTGGAGGTCCGTGTTTGCTCTACTCCTATTTTGTATTGTTTAATGGACTTTTGAGCTTGAATACTGTTCGTTATCTCCATATATTTCATTGTTCAAGCACGCCAACAAGGACGCCATCTTCAGCTTATCTCTTGTTGTTTTTCCACTCTTTCAAGTTATGGTAAGACACCAAACAGGAAAGACAAAAAGAAGCAACAAATCGGATCAAAATTTGAACCCTTACCCCATCCCCGACACAGGGCACTATACAAAAACGTTCTTTTTGTACGGAGATCTTCAACAACAGCGTACTAACTCGCCCAACATATAATTATATGAAAATAATTCATTTCTCTCGCTTTTTTCTCAAAGATAGAGGGGGTTGTTCTAACTCGAAAATTTTTCCACAGAGCCATCCACTGCACCCTTATTAATAAGAAATCGGGAGAGAGTCGATTTCTCTTTTACCCTTTCCCTCAAAAATGCTCAGGAAGCATACCATTTTTTGCCGTATCTTGCTTTCTCCTGAGAGCTATGGCCTGACGACAAACTTCTTTCCGCTTTTCTAGTAAAATACAGGCCTGGCATGTACAATCCCGATACTGACAGAAATGTTTGTGACCTTTTAGCTCCACCAGACTACCATGATTCCTGCATCTGTTGCACCGTCTCACAGATCGCACGGACCTCTCAGTCTCAATATTTTTGTCAGTCATCGACCCGGACTTCTAAAGAGAAATAAGTAACTTTTACACGACAGAAATTCTCTTTTCCACTCCAAATCAAAGAACATACACCAAAATATATCACATGACAAGTCCAGTGTACTTACATGTCATGTAAATTTCTTTGAAAGAACTTGCGCAAAAACTTGGTTTCACGTGGGAAATAAAAAGTAATATGCAAGTCCGTTTCGGATAGAATAGGCATTTCCGGTTTCATTTCACTTGGTTTTTTATTAATCACTTTGCAGCAGATTTTCTTTTTATAAAATAACGGATTACAAGAAAAAATCACTATTAAATCGATAATTTCTGGACTTTGGCTATAACTACCTTATGGAGAAAAAATATTTTCCAGGTGTTTGTATTTTTGGTTATTGAAAAATCTTATGTTGTCGAGCTACACATCAACAAAATATATATTTCAAATATTCGTTTTGAAACGTCAAATTTTATTTATTTGAAAACAATGAAAAATCTCAACGCACCTCTTTACATAGAAGAAAAATATCGGAGGTACTAATGACTTGAAAACGACCGAGTCTGTATTATATCTCATATATGCATGGGTCTATCGATTTTCTCTTCTTTTGGATAGAAAACGAAGAATAAACTTTTCAGTGATTACATTATGTACGCTCTTGATTTCAAGTATTACAGAGTTAGTAATGATATTTTTAAAACTAAATATTTTGTCTAAGTGCATTAAACTATCCTGTGGGAACCGGATGGGTGGGTGGGAATTAAAGGGCGTGCCCTCCCCCTAATAAGTATGGCAGTATATGGTTTACTGCTGTTATTGTACCCTCATAATTTTGCTAGTATATCTGAACAACCCCCCCCCCCCCCGCTGAAATTGATTCCTACGAGCCTGACATTTAGTGCATAAAATATTTGCAGCATCCTGAGTTCAGTACAATTCCATTAACTTATATTTGACTGATACATGAATGTTTCACTTCAGAGTACACAAAATATCAAGAAATCACCTGGCGAAGCCATTTTTCCCAAAGGGTCGTACATTATGGGGAGAGAGAGAGAGAGAGATAAATTCAAAATATACAGTGAATATAGCATACACGTATACATTTACTTTTAAAAGGGCTGGGATACAGATTTGAAGCTCATATTTTCTAAAATTTTCTAAATAATATCATGACTTACATGTTGCTAAAGCATTTCACACTGAAATCTATTAAAAGCGTGATAAGAACAATAATTACAGAGCTCGCACCCTTTTTACAAACACAGCTGTTTGACGTGATGTTACATGGTGAACGTCTGGGACACAAATTATTTTTAAATAAAAATAGACATTTAAAATTGTAAACAATGCAACTATGTCCAGGCCCTTTTAAATCGTCTGAGATAGACCATACCCAACCTTTAATAATTTAATGATCGAAGCATACACCAGAATCATTCTTCAGGGGGCGACCATATTTGATTCTGAGAGGGGGCGGCAAATATTGGACAAAAATAATCTGACCTTGAAAATGTCGAAAATAAATCCACTTGAACTTGAACGGTAACCCCCCCCCCTCCCCCAACACACACACATACGAAATAGTGTTTCTGCAGATTTCCTTTTTTCGTCAATTTTTCCAGAGAAGAAAGAAAATAAATAATCTTCTGTGAGGACATGGCTTGACAATCTTTCCCAGCCCCCCCCCCCTCCCCCAAGATGTTATTCTCGGGAAAATGTTAGGATCAGTGTCCCCTCCTTCCCTGGTACTAAGTAAGTGCCTGTAATTTCGCTCAAGCCACTTGTTGGTTTACCATAACCTTATCTTCCAAATTACATGTAGAAAGTGTAAAAACGCATTTATATCTTATGTCCTCTGTCCTATCTATGACATTTCCAAAGGTGCTTGGGAACAGGACCCCCCCCCCCCCACCGCATTCCGTTTTCCAAGGGCTCTTCGACTTTTTTTTATATATAAAATATTTTTCTATGACACATTCACAAAGTATTACAATTGAAAAATCCAAAATATGACCTAAAACTGGCTTTTTTTATAAAAATTCACACTCTCTGATACTAAAAGAGAACAAGCTAAAATACTAGTATTATATATACAAAAAAGTCGGAGAACCTTGGAATATGGAATGTAGGAGGGGGGGGGGGTCCCGTTCCCAAGCACCTGTGGTCAGTACTTATTACAGTCCGACTATCTCTGGCGTTTTGTCGGATGTTCCTTTTTTTTTTAACAATGCAATATGAATCACAACCAAGGAATATGCTTACAAAAACCATGTTAGGTTTTGTTCCTAGTTTTATCTCAAGTCACCCATACAAAAACTTATATAAAATATATACCGAGTCCAAGTTATATTGGCTTTTTGCACCCTTATAAAACAATTACTAGAATTAAGAAATACTGTAAAAGGTTCACGTTGGTGCAAAATTTGTATATTCTAACCTTCGTTCTCTGTTTTGTTTTGGTATTGAATTGTATTCCTTACCCATAGGGCTGTAATAAGATTATTACATGTATTTATTAGTTGTTGCAGATTTATTGATGGAGAAACATCCGATTTACTATGAAAATCATACAAATATTTGGGGGATTCTTCCATGCATTAAACTGTCAAAAATGAAATGGGGGAGTGTTTCTACCCTATTGAGAAAATTGTATTTAAAAACAATGAGAAACAAAAAATTGAAAATTCAGAAAAAATCCTCACTTCCTGTTGCTTGTATGACAAACACTTATATACTTGAAATAAACAATTACTGTCATAGGGGTGTGCTTGTGAAATCAAAATCATCAATGAAAATTTAAAATTTGTTTTATTTCATACATTAAACATTTACAACACAATCGAAAAAAAAATCACCAGACTACAAGCCTTGTATTTAATTACAGTAACCGATAATGGAAGCTTTTTAAGTGAATACACTTTATCTATACTCCATCTACACAGATGCATTTTCTTAAATGTAAATTGGGGGGGGGGTTTAACATTTACTACATGTGTATATGGAGATTAATGTCAGCGCTGTAGTTAATTCTTCATCATCCCATTTAATTCTTAATAGGAAAAAATATTCTCGCCACTGAAGAAGTTGATGGTACGAGAGTCTTGTTCCATTGATGAAGGCAGAATACGGCGTGGTTTACGCCTGGGTCCGTGAAGCCGTTCAGCCCTCCGTATATTTGTTGCAGTGGCTACAGAATGGGTTGAAAAAGTAGGATTTTGATTTCTTTTAGGTGTGGAAGGCACCTGTTGATCTGATAGGTTTTCTACTACAATAAATAAAATAAAATAACTTAAATAAAATTTAATTAAACTTACCCATAAGGCCATAAATGTAAAATTTGATAATAATATGCTATTCCATTGTACATAACTTGGTATCAGCAAGTAAAGTCATTGTACCTACACTTATAATTTGCATAACGCGAAACTGGTGTCTGTGGAACTGCACTAAATCTGTGATTATGTGGTGTTCTTGTCGGTGTTGGTTCTGCAACAGGAGTCCTTGGAACCGCAGCATCGCTAGAATCTGTGGAAAAGATAGTCAAAAACAAATACAATACTGAATTTATATTGATCTGTTTTCCTTTAGAAATTTGTTTCAAAGATTTACCTGTTGTCCTGTCTAAAGACTGCCCCATGCTTGGAACAACTGCTGCTGGAGATGAGTTGGCACAAGCGTCTTCCGTGGTATACAATCGAAACCTTGGTGTGCTTGGAACAAACTGAGCTGGGGAATTTGAACTCATGGTTTATTTCAAACTGCAAGATAGAATATGTAGTAGAACTAAAAATTTCCAGTTCCGTTGAGAAAAACTTATCAGATTATAGCCCTAAATAATCAGTCATTACATTAATATAAAGCTATGTATGTAACTCTGAGGAATGTTTTAAATATTAAAAAAGATAAAAGGATCTTTTAAAGATAAAATAAAATGTGCTAGATGTTTCATAATTACAGTATTTGTCATGACAAGCTTCAACCTCTTACTGGTCGAAAAGTTTTCATCGGAGCGGGAACGTTAAAAAACATGGCTTATGGTTATAAAAGGAAAATTTTAAATACCGGCGCTTAAAATCAGAGTTGGGGTGAGGGGTTATAGCATGAAAACTTAAGTAAGGACATCGTTCGTTGCAATGTTATAGTATACATATAGATATACTCTATATTTTAAACTCTAACTAGTATTTAAATACACTAAATATCAATATTTAAACTCACAAGTTTCCTTCAGAGACTTTTAAGGAAATTCGGTCTTTTAAATGCCTTGCATTAGAATAAATCGCCAAGGATAAAGACGATAAGAAATAGGCCAAATAAAACGAAGGCGTAAAAAATGCCAAGAGGAATAAAGAGCGCTGTTACTTCTTCAAACGAAAACGTAGCTGTACAGTATGTAAACACCAAAGCCAAAAAGAAAAAAGTGCTGTATTGGATTACTTCCTGTAACATTGTTTACAAATTCAACCCGCCAAAACAAGTTTGAGTGACCATTGTATGACGTGTGCAAATTTGTACCAATCAAGTACGATGGTTTTTGAACCGGAAGTGGGGATCAGACGAGATGTTAGGATAACAGTTAGCAAGTAAAATTTTAAGTTTAGGAAATCGCAGTTATACGGGATTGTTACATTGTCAGGATATTATATGAGAACTTAAAGGATTGTCATGTGACAGGTTTTGTTTTCGGAATTCTGCAAGTAGGCCTAGAGAAAGACTGTAGTCTGTTATGAGTTAATAGGATAACGTGAACACTGGTCAAGATACTGATATTAAAGGCATGTCAGTATCAAATATGTAACATATCTCTGTACTTTAGGAATAAAAGAAAAATCTATGAAGCTGAAGCAAAACAAAATGCATTTAACTGAAGTAAAATAAGGTAAAGTGATTACTTATGTAGTGTGTATATGTGCTTTATATGAAAGTTCAGAAGCTGCTCTATTGAACAATGGCATTAAGTAGCGCTTACTGGCTAATGGTTGCTAGAGATTACTTCTTGAGTTTTATAGGGTCTTCAAGTTGCTTTATAGCAGGGGAGTCGGCAAAGGGGCGGCAGGGGCGGCGGTCGCCGCCCCAATAATTTTGCAAAAAAACAAAAAACAAAATCCAAAGAAAAATGAATTTTAAATGAGAAATATGAAATTACAAAATTTGTAATGGAGATATCTGTGGTCAATGGAGCGGCAAGGATAACGGCAATCTGTGGTCAATGGAGCGGCAATTTGCAAAGTGTGAAAACTATTGTTCATACAGACGCAAATTGGGATGTACCTACCTGGCGTGTGTAAACAATAAGCATGGTATCCATCACTTAACGTGTAAGTTTGCTACAAATTTTTCATCAGGCCAACATTTTGGGGGGCGAGGTGGAGATTCTCTAAGTTTTTGAATTTTTTTTTTCTTTTCAAACGCTGGAATTTGCCCAAGTTCGACCTAACAGCAACAAAAAGTGTGTATGAAAGGGGGGGGGGGGCAAGCAGCGTCTAAATGAATGAATTTTTACATATGGAAACTTTAGCAAAAAAAAAACTATTCTCAGAAAAAGTGGAGAAATTGAGCAAAAATTGGAGCACTCCCTCCTCCTGACACCCCTTATAACAGGCCTGTCATTCATTGTCAATTTTTGATGAACCGAAGTTGTAAGTTATTAAATTAAAGCAAAATACTAAAATACTGGGTAAAAATTACTATTTAAAGCAACTTCAGTTGATTTTTTTTATAATGTCATACATATTTCTGCAATTAAAAATGGAGAGATTTTAAAGGATTTAATCATCCTGTCCATTTTAAATTTCATACTTTTGTAATAAATATTATTCAATAATAGAAAATTATACGTATATTTATCTTTACTTCGTCATAAACCGTTCAATGTTCTTTCTATGCCAATTGGGGAAAAAACCTAGCTCCTAGCTATTTAAAAAATATTCCAGTTTTGTTTTCATTCATACATGTAGTATATGTGACTTATTAAAAAAACATAAAACATTTCTTTTTTCGTTTCATATTTAATTGGGGTTTTTTTAAATCGGAAAATACCTCTAGACTTTTGACTTAATGGGGAAAATATTAAGATTTTGGCAGAAATTTCAATTATTTAGTTTATGTCACAAAAATTTGGTTAGGATCCCCTCCCCCTTTGATCCAGTTCGCCTCCCCAATGTCAAATATTTGCCGACGCCCCTGTATAGTACACCAGACCTGCTTTTTAAAATTTGTTTTGTTAGTTAGTTTTCTGTTGGTTTTGTTTTACCTCAGCTGAGCAGACTCATTTTTTTGAAGACCTCTGACCTTTGATTGTTCCTAAGAAATATAGCTCTAAGAATAATACAGTGGAAAGAAAAGCTGTTCAAATGGAGAAAAAAGCACAACAAAAATGTCACCTAAACATAGAAACAGTAAGGAAGGACAAGGAAATGACATGTAAGTATCTGGACATTAGTGTTTGAGGCCATGTGATATATACTGGTAGAAATTCAGTGTAACTTATATATATGTGAATGTTTTAACATTTGTAGGGGAAGAGAGAATGAATTTCTTGATGCCAAAAATGATGATAGGAATTGGCAAAGATTTATATGAAGGTATACACATGCATCTACTTAAAAAAAAACTTAATTATTTTAAAAATAATGAGAATTTTCTCAGAAAGGGCAATACATCATCTAACTGAGCAGCTTTTCATATTAATATTTGCTTTACCTAAGTTTTCTTCAACAGTTGTAGAAGATGAGGACCAAGAAAAGAAATCCAACAATAAAGCAAATTTACAAGGTAAGAGTTTTTGAATATAGAAACTGTGCAATAAAAAATAATTTAAGTTAGTAGAGTAATTATTGATAAATAGTGATGAATTTAGCATTAAGTGGTATTTGCAATTCTTGGGTTATAATAATTTAAGGATATATAGGAATCACCTAGTCCATTTGTCCATCCATCTGTCTGTGTCTTGTCCAAACCATAACTTTGCAAAGGAGACACTTGGAAGCCCATACTTTACAGAAGGATTGCCAGATAGGATGTGCCTTCATTTTGACTCAAACTCATTTGGGCAAGTTTAAGATCATGACAGAAAAAGCTTTATAATATCATCAATTAGATTGAAAGTTCATACTTTACACAAAGATAGCACATATCCTTCATGTTTTGACCATGACTTGTGGTCATTTGTACAAAGTCAAAAACATTTGCAGAATAATGTGTAAATTATATCTTGTAATGGGGAAACACTAGATGATCATACTTGACTCAAGATTGCTTATGATACAGGGGTGTATCATGACAATGACCCAAGTAAATATTTGACAAAAAGTTCACAAAGTCATGGCCAGAAAAAGATGTATAATCTGTGTTTGTTCTATAGCTTTTTAGGTGATAAAAATTGGAAGTTTCTATCTTAGGCAATCGTTAAAAATTTTGTTTGTTTGATGTACTCTGACCCACATTTTTCAAGGTAGGGAGGTAAGTATTTTTATTTTAAATTATCATACACATCTATAATCTAATAAAATCCACAGACTTTTTACATAGGACAGCTAGACAGATTAATATTTATTGCTGTAAAAACTTTCAATCTGAGTGCATCCTAGAGAAATGATAAACCTTAACTTTAAGAATAATGTGGACAATCTGTTGTTGTTTTTTTTTGTTTTTTGTTTTTTTTTTTTTTACAAATAAACAAATAAGATGTTAAGTACTAAAAAAATGTTTGGATATGAGCGATTTTGATGGGTAGGAGTACATAAAATCATTTACTCATGACTAAAGGGCGTGTCATGACCCAAGGTCATTTGTAACAGTACAAGGTCACTCCAAAAATGTGTAGTTCTCATGCAGGCCATATCTTGTAATGGAGAAACATTGGAGTGTTATACTTAGCACAAAGATTGCTAATGTCCTTAGGGTATGTCATGTTTTTGACCTAAGGTCATTTAGGGAAGTTCAAGGTCACAGACAAAAAAAGCGTAAAGGAACTTGTGCAAATAATCCAAGAAAAATGGCCAAATAAATAAGTAAGCTAAAAATTTAAATCTGAATCAATAAAATTTTCTTTTAAGGACATATGCAACGTAGTTTGAACTTTATTTTCTTTTTCCCTGGAGTTGAAGAGTTCCGACACTGAAAGGAACTGTGTGCTACATTTTAATGTCTATATATGCTGTTGTACACTTCTTTTAAAACAAGTTTGGATGAACAAGACATCTGGAATATATGTTTAGTAATTTTTGTATATTTTTCTTTGTATTATACAAGAATTTTCATCAATGGAAATCTTTTCAAAACCCCTGGTAATGCATGGTGATTTTTTGTCTATGAACATCTGATGGCACTATAATCTTATATTAAGAATATCTTGAAAAAATATCAGTAGGTAAGGTACATTGCGTGTGTCCTTAAACATATGTAGGACTCATAAGTGTGATGGGAATCCAAAGTCTGATTGTCATGCCAGAATCCGATGGTCTTAGCCAAACCCTGTGGGTTTGACATGCCAGTGGTGCAGGAAAATAAACATTTATGATACCATAGTACTGCTGTGAGAAATTGCAATGCCACTCCACACCAAGCTCTGATGGCCTTAAATAAATATATAAATGAATATGATTATGAAATAGTTCACTAGGAAATACCAAAATTTAAGTGCACTACTATTCTTAATTCTCAATGGGTGCAAGGCTAGCCCTAATATCTAGGTGGGTGCAAGACTAACCCTAATTATTCAAAAAGTGTGTAACATCTTGGATGGGAGAGAGATTAACCCTAAGCAGTTGAATGGTGTGTGAGGACTAACCCCTAATCTCTTGGTTAGTTGCAAAGCTATCCCATAATCATATCAGTTGAGTGGTGTGCTAGGACTAGCGCTAATATCTCAAGTGGGTGCAAGCAGTAAGCAAAATCAGTCAAATTGTATGCAAGGACTAATACTACACTGTTGGCTTTTGAATGCTGGACAACTGCGTCAAGGATTGACATTAGAATATTGTGACATCATAAACATTGATTTTTTTTCTGCACCATCCGACTTTGGCTTGTCAGATCATCGCACAAAGTGCAGTGCACCTCTAGGAAACAAGCCATCAGACTTTGGTGGGACAATTGGAATTCTGCATCCGTATCGACTCCTAATTATTGGGGATTAGTGCAGACCATCGGACTTTTGCAAGACCATCACACTTTGAAGTCTTACATATATATACCAGTTAACATGCATGTTTAAATTATGTAAAATCTCCACAACTGCAATCCTATTTTTATTGAAATTATTCATCAAGGATATATTATGCACACACCAAAGAGGACAAAGAAGACTATTCCCCCATACTATAGCACTTTTTATGACTTGTGATTTACTGTGATTAGCATGTCAGTCTCAAGTATTAAACCGATACTCAGATATTTATCACTTGGGTTCAACCCCCCAATGACTCTGCAAATGCATTTCTTTTACTAAGAGTTTTTTTGCTACAAGAATTTTCTGTGGGAAAGAATTGTTTGTCATTGTCATAATTTCATATCTACATGTTTGTTTTGTTTGTTTGTTAGTTATTGTTTAATGTCCCTCTCGAGAATTTTTCACTCATATGGAGATGCCACCACTTGCCGGTGGAGAGCTACAAATTTTGACCTATACTCGGCACTCAGGGCCATTGAGCAGTGAGGGATCTTTTTCGTGCCAGCACCTACTGCGACACAGGACCTCGGTTTATACGGTCTCATCCGAAGGACCGGTCTCCACGTCCCATAGTGGGATTCGAACCCACGACGTTAGGATCAACTCCTTACTCCGAGACTCTAGAGCGAACACTCTAACCACTGCGCCACGCTGGCGACCATATCTACATGTAACTAGAAATATATCCATAGGACATGAATGCCCCGCCGAGGGTATATAAGTAATGCAACATTTTAACACAAATTGAGAAAAGTGAGGTCAAGGTCAAAGGAAAGATCAAGGTGAAAAAATATTGATGCAATTGAATAGCTTATATTAGTATGTATCAGCATATGAAGTTTGACACTAATTTAAGAAAAGTGAGGTCAAGGTCAAAGGAAAGGTCAAGGTAAAAAATATTGATGCAGTTGAATAGCTTTCATCAGTATGTATCAGCATATGAAGTTTGTTAAAAATATCTTGAATGGTTTCATTAAAACTTAGCTAAACACTAATTTAAGAAAAGTGAGGTCAAGGTCAAAAGAAAGGTCAAGGTCAAAAAATGTTGATGCAGTTGAATAGCTTACATCAGTATGTATCAACATATGAAGTTTGATTACATTATCTTGAATGGTATCTTTAAAACTGAGCTAAACACTAATTTAAGAAAAGTGAGGTCAAGGTCAAAAGAAAGGTCAAGGTCAAAAATGTTGATGCAGTTGAATAGCTTACATCAGTATGTATCAACATATGAAGTTTGATGACACTATCTTGAATGGTATCTTTAAAACCGAGCTAAACACTAATTTAAGAAAAATGAGATCAAGGTCAAAGGAAAGGTCAAGGTCAAAAAATGTTGATGCAGTTGCATAGCTCTCATCAATATCTATCAGCGTATGAAGTTTGATAAAAATATCTTGGATAGTTTCTTTGAAACTGAGCTTTGAACAGAGCTAAACACAAAGTGTGACAGAAAGACGGAAAACGGACATGACAAACACTATATGCCCCGGCCATATTCATGGCGGGACATAATAAGAATTTTATTTTATATATTACTTTGGGGGATATCATTTTGTGAGCTCACTCACAGTGCCTCTCATTTTTGAAGGTAAAACAAGTACCTATTAGATTTGTGATTCCCTTAATTTTAGGTTTAGAGATCAAGAAATCATTGGAAGTCACTCCTGAAAAGAAGACATCTAGGAAAAACAGGTAAGTCATCATGAGCAAATACCTCAAATCTATGATACTATAGAAGATTTTTTAGGTCATCATTCAGTGTCATGCGGATGGAATGTCTCTATCTGTTTTCGTCTGGCATTGTATGATGTGCTAAGTATTTGGTTCATTTGATCAATTTTTCAGCTGTGGAAAAACATTTCAAAACTAATTTAACCCTATAAATTTAAAATCAGAAATAAATAAGATTTGAAAAGTTCTAATTCTTTATTAGCTAACGTAAGCTGAAAGCTTAAGTGAGCTTTTCTGGTCACATTTTGTCTGTAGTCCGCCCATCCATCCGTCTGTAAACTTTTCACATTTTTGACTTCTTCTCCAGAACCACTGGGCCAATTTCAACCAAACTTGCCACGAAGCATTCTTGAGTGAAGAGGATTCAAGTTGTTTTTTTTTCTATTGAAGGGCCATACCCTCTTTCAAGGGGAGACAATTAAGAATTAGAGAAAATTTGGTGGTACATTTCGTATCATTTTAAAAATCTTCTTCTCAAGAACCACTGGGACAGAAAAATTAAAACTTATGTGGAGTCATCCACAGGTAGTGTAGATTCAAATTTGTTCAAATCATGACCCCTGGGGGTAGGGTGGGGCCACAATGGGTGATCAAAGTTTAACTTTGGAATACATATAGGAAAAATCTTTAAAAATCTACAGCAAAGTACAGCAAAGAAGCCATGATTGGTCATATTTATATGGAAACATCCTCAGGTAGTATAAATTCAGGTTTGATCAAATCATGATTCCCATTGGTATGATATAGCCGTGATGGGCAATGAAAGTTTACATAGGAATATATAAGAAAAAGTCTTTAAAAATTTTCTTCTTAAGAACAGCAAAGCCATGATTAGTCATATTAATATAAAAGCATCCTCAGATAATGTAGATTCAAATTTACTGTAAACCAACTATTATTTGCGTCATCTTTTATTCACGATTTGTCAGTTTGATATCAATCCGTGACAATTAATTTCTGCGACTAAGGAAACATTCTCTATAAGTACTAAGCCACATAAATGGTTTGCAGCTATTAATATTCGCGAGTTAGATTAGGTTGCAAAACTCTGGGATATTTCTCACAGGCGAATAATAGTTGGTTTACAGTATTCAAATCATGACCTCCCAAGAATAGAGAAGGGCTACAACAGGGGATCAAAGTTATATAAAGGAATATAAAGGATATATATCAATAAAAAAAATTCTTTTCAAAAAGAGCAAGGGCATGATTAGTCATATTAATTTAGAAGCATCCTCAGTAGTGTAGATTTAAGTTGGTTCAAACCATCCCCCCCTTCCTTTTCAATACTGAACTGATTTCTGGTTTTTCCTAGCCAATGTTCTCAGGTGAGTGATGTGGCCATGGGGCTCTTGTTTTCTATATAGTATCTTAAATGTATTAATTGCTATGCAATTGCAGAATTTGGAATCTCTATCAAAGGATTATATTATGAAAGCTCTTCCATTGTAAGAAATTACCCATTAAATGACACTTCATATATGTATATTTAGCTTGCTGATTTCTAATATAGTGCACCACTGAAAAAAAGGTGGAATAAGGAACAGCCTTTGACTTCCACTGCCTTATACATCACACAGACCGATCTTCTAGAGAGTACTCCTGATGTTTCCTCCATTCACAGTATGTCTCTTTCTCACTGAAAACCCTGATCATTAGGGCCCCGCACTGCGGGTGCCCTATAGTGATCAGTCTGTCCGTCCGTCCATCCGTCTGTCCATCCGAGATCTCTTGTCCGGAGCATATCCTCTCTCCTTGGCCCAATCTGGCTCATACTTCACCCACAGAGTGTCTTTGGGTAAAGGGTGTGCAGTGACCTTGAACCATGTTTCTAGGTCTAAGGTCAAGGTCATAGCAGAATTGTATGAAAAATCCTTGTCCGGAGCATATCTTCTCTCCTCTTGATCCAATGTGGCTCATACTTCACTCACAGAGTGCCACTGGTCAATGGATGTGCAGTGACCTTGAACAAAGCTTTTAGGTCAAGGGTCAAGGTCAAAAAAGCCTCTCTGTTTAAATTTTTGTTCAGAGCATATTTTCTCTCTCCTTGGCCCAATCTGGCTCATACTTCACCCACAGAGTGCCTTTGGGTAAAGGGTGTGCATTGACCTTGAACCATGTTTCTAGGTCTAAGGTTAAGGTCATAGCAGAATTATATGAAAAGTCCTTGTCCAGATCATAACTTTTCTCCCCTTTTGGTCCAATGTGGCTCATACTTCACTCACAGAGTGCCACTTGTCAGTGGATATGCAGTGACCTTGAACGAAGTTTCTAGGTCAAGGGTCAATTTCAAAAATAGCCTCTCTGTTTAAAATCTTTGTTCGGTGCATAATTTCTTTCCCTTAAGTCCAGTCAGCCTCAAACCTTACCAATTGACTTAGGGTACGGATCATTTGTGATTTTCCTTCCATATTTCTGATAGAGGATATGCAACAATTTTCATAGAGGATATGCAGCATTCGTGATTTTTGTGCCATTTTTTGATGGAAGGTGTTGAGCACTCGTGCTTTTCGTGCCATTTTTTATTATAACGAGGATAACATAGAAGCCCTTTAGACTCAAACAACACATCCCTTAATAGTACACAAATGTTTCTCTTCAAAATAAACCCTTTTCAGCTACCTTACATTTCCATGTTCATTGCTGAAAGCGGGGCCCTTTGAGATGGCCACCATCTCAATGATATCTAGTTATATTGGGAGGATGTTAAACTGATATCTATAATAATGATATTGGCTACTGGGATTTATGTTGATGTGACAGGGTTGTATGTGTACTTTTTGTATCCATTCATAGAAATGACAAAGAATTCTTGTTGTATGTATAACAGTATTAAATTGTTGTTGACTGAAAAAAAAAAATATGAATAGGTATATATTACTGTTTTCTTGTAAAAAAAAAAAATTACTTAGCACAGTTTAGAACATATTTTATTGATATATAATGTTTCAATTTGGGATTAGACCAATATGTTCTTTAAACTTTAAGAGGGTCCTCTTCAAAATAAGCAGTATGATTGCCTGTCCTTTTTATTTATTTGCTAACAATGATTAGTAACATGAATGTGTATACATGTCAGGGCTGGACATTAACTTTTTTTCCTACTTTTCCATTTGGACAAGTGACAAAAGCAATAACTTGTCCAAACTTCATCTTCACTTTTCCTAAAATTTTTCAATAAAGATCTAATACTGTCAACTGGAAAACTAAGAATAAGGTCAATTACATGCGCATGATGTTATTTAAAATACAACAAACACATAAAACAAAATTTTATCTAGGCTCTCTATCCTGACAACATAAATGCTGTCAAAATAAAACAGAATCCAAACTTCGTAAGACAGTAACGGGCAAGTTCCATGCCTTTGCAGTAGTATGCAATAAGTGAACTTTGATCCCAATCGAGTGTGAACTCAATTACACAGCAATCCATATCGGGATCGAAGTTCGGTTTTATGTACTGTTTCCGTCTTTAAAGTACCGGTAAACTTTCAACAGTTGTTCTTTTTAATATTTAGAGACTTCTTTAAAATGCATCTGTCCAATTGGACAAGTACCCAACAATATTCACTTGTCCGTAATTTTTTTTCACTGGTACCGGACAAGCGTTAATGTTGAGCCCTGCATGTACCAGTATTTTGTATTACATAATTCAGAAAAAATTGACCAGCCTATGAATGCTTTTTCTTATTTTTCTAAAAAGCATGTAAATAAGATTGACATGGGTTGTGTCAATTTTTTTTTAACTCTACTGGTATTTAAGTTTTCAGTTGCCATTAAGCTTCTACAAAGAATATTTGAAAATCTTTCAGAATATTTCCCCTCCTTCATTTTTGATTTGATTGCAACAAAGTTTGTAAATTGAAGTTTAGAAAACATCAAAATACATATTTCTATAACTGTAGAATTGTTTCAAATCCAGATGCTGTTTTCTCTTGTTTTTATTCAAGTACAAACCAGTAGAAGTACAGACTCTTCAGAGACTTAGGGGTTAAATGCAATCTGACAGACTTAGAATTATTATATACAATCATGATTCACAGGGTCCTGTTGGAACCATACGAAGATTAGAACATATTAGCAGTGTACGGTTTTTAGGTTTACATTGAAGTTGAGAAGAAGACTATATGATATATTAATTGTGTTGGGAAAAAGTGTTTTAAACAGGTCTGTCTCCCACCTGCACAAGCAGCACTGTCATCTTGGATATGGCACAGCATTGGATTCTGCTCCCAGAAACCTAACTGTGATTAAAATCATAGCCAGATTGCTCCTTTGACAAATATGTATAGAAAGCCATGTCTAAAATGGACCAAGGTTTATGATGACACAAGATATTGGACAAATTATTAAAATTTGATGCCTAATGAAGACCTATAATGATGAATTTAACTATCTTTTTGAACATTTATCTGTATGAGGCTTAATGCCATCATCATAGATGCATTTATTGAGCTTTAAAATTTTTGCTTACCTGTTTTATTTTACTACAGACTCAGGGGAAAGGTGTAATGAACGTCCTTTGCTGAGTAACCCAATCCAGTTAACAGTGAGTAGAGACTAGAAAGGAAACCAAAAAAAAGATCTTGTTTAAGAATTTATTTCATTTTTTGTTCTTTTAATCTACATGTAAAGTATCAGTTTTTTGTTATCATTCTACTTGCATTGTTATGGTTACTGTTTCTTTGCTAGGTGTCCAGACCAGTAACCAAATTTAACCACTTAACAAGTACACCAAACTGTTCTAGGAAAGAACAGTTAGAGGTAATGTTTGAACTGATTGATATATCCCGGGAGAAAATCCCATTAAACAATTTGCATCAATGGTTAAACTTTGTCTCAGCACATCATAAAGTTATTTATATATTTTCTAAATATGAAAGATGATATTGAAATTTGCCAAGTATAACTACAATTACCATATATACTCGCCTATAAGTTGGTTCCGCTTATAAATCAGTTGTATTTTTTAGGTTATTTTGACCCTCCTATAAGTTGGTACTTTTTGGCAGAGTCAGTTGACAACTCAGATCAATGCTCTAATGTTTTTACCTGTGTTTTAAAGAATATTTTTTGAAATGACACTGATATTTAATCTTTTATTCACATCAAATCAATTTCTCGCCTATAAATCAGACATAGAGTTTTGGACCAAAATCAAACTCCCAAAATTCTGACTTATTAAGACAAGTATATATTGTACATTGTTCAGATCTATTACAGATGGATTTATCAGCCATTCAGCCACTGCTACAAGATGATGAGTTAGACATTCATGCTTCCACAATGGTGAATTCCATGGAGATTGTTCCACTTCATGATAGTGTAGATCTTCCTCCTCCATTAGATGCAGAGCATGTTTTGGCATTAAATAAGGTGCTCTTTCACTTTAAAATACTTAATATATTTTATTTCGTTGAAAGATAGATGAAATGTTAAGCCTTCTCAAAAGCTAGATAGTTTATATAGTTAGATTGCAAAGCTAAGGAAGGGATGGTTTCTGTCTGTCCATTTGTTTGTCTTACTGCATCAGTTCAGTTGGGTACCTTTGTAGATGATCTTTTAATCTTACCGGGGTATTCTTCTAATTTTCCATACATGTAAATCACTCTAATCTTTTGATGTCAATGTTGTATGTTGACTGAGGCTTTAAGGTCACTGATTATATCAAGAGTTTCTCAGACAATGATAGGGCTGTGTATTGAGCAAAATATTTCGATACGATACGATATTTTTTAAAGCGATATGCGATATATTGGATTATTTATTAAGTCTTTCACAAATGTCTTGTAAATGACATTTAATGCATAAATTTTATAAAAACTGGGTGAGTCTAACATAACATGTTAAAATATAGTTGTCTATGTATTTTGTAATAGTTATTTAAGATGTGCTATCTCCTCAATGTTTATTTCATTATTGACCAGTTTTAATTCAAAACAGATAAAAATAATCTTTGGTAACTGAAATTCCCAACTTTTTTACAGAATTATAAGGAAAACTGCCTGTCCGATACGTATTGGAAGTTATTTTTTCGATACGATACATTCCTGAAAATCGATACGTATTGAATATTCGATATATTGACACAGCCTTAGACAATGACCACTTTAGCCCCTAGCTAATAGAACTGGAACTATGGTTTAATTCACATGACAAATATTTTTTTCAGATTATTAAATACTCTAAAATACTAAAAAAGGAGATATAAATATGGAGTTATAATCTACTTATATTTCAACATAAGATACCTGTCATTTATCCCCAGGAAAAATAATCAAAGACAATGAAGTGTTGGTGAAGTGTTGGTGAACTGAAATCGCTGTTGCATGCATGCTTACTTAAATGGGAAAAATGCATGAAATAAATAAAGGTTTCAATTCAACTAGGCCAAATGAAATGTTAAGAATGTTTGAATTGATTACAAATTGAATAATAGACTAAAGATTTCAATTACTGTATAGGGGGAAAATAACTCGCGGTGTTAATATTCACTATATTCACGGTGTTAATAAATCAGTGAATTCAAGAAACAGTGAATAAGTTTTAAATATTCAACCTCAATGTTTTATTTGGAAATTCGAGAATAGACTATGATAGGTATATATACATGTACGTACAATACATGGTCATTCAGTAATTACGAGTAGTACTTGTCATTCAATTATCTTAATTATCACGCTTTATTTTAATTCAAGTAAGCGCTAATAACCTGTATTTTTTGTTAAAAAGCTGTTTTAATAGATACATGTTTCATCAATCAAAACACATGGGTCAAGGGTTTTGATTACCGGTGCGTAACGTTACCACGTGTATTTGTTACCTGCATAAGCATTATGAGCATTAGTATTTATAGAAATTTTGGATTAAAAAATATTCAAATAACTATTGAACTTGCTGAAGATATGGAAGGATATTATTACGTCTACCTACATTAATACATTTATTAGCGTCCAGTGAATTTTTTCCGCTGCGATGTGTATACCTACGGAAATATGTGTACATATGCACTCATCGTAAAAGTATATAGGAAAGTCATTTGACGTTTATAGTCAAAATATTTTAATAACGGCACTTGTTTTGATTAATCATTAATTAACTACTAAATCTAATCATTTTATATAAACCTACCCTGTTCGTGAAATGAAAATATAATGCTGATAAATGTCGTTCTTGCTATACTAGCTATGGATTACACGGATAAAGACAAAGGAGGTAACTTTTATTATACACTGATTCCGCGAATTCAACAAACCGAGATTGTGTCCGATTAGAGAAAAACGTGAAAATTACAACCCGTGAAATTGATCCCCTATACAGTAATTTCATTTTATCTAAGGGCAGATAACTCTAACTGCATAAACATACCGTAGAATTAGAACTGTTTAGTGTGCAGTGTATAGAGGGTTCTTAAATATTCTTTTTTTGTGTACAAGATATTTTCAGTGCTGCTAAATTGTGGGGTGACATAAGCCTTAGCATTTGTCCATTAAAATTGTTAAGTACACAGTTAACTTCATTATTGGTATCTTTTATGATATCATTTTACTTCACAGCTCAGTAAATCCTTGTGTGACACAGGGTGAATTATAATTAATTAATATTACTAATTATCCTTCATATCATTTTCATATACCAAGGTAGTTTCCTAAGGCATTATATTATTATAGTACGTACATGTAACTTGTGAATTCTGTTGTCACTACGGAATTTACTGTGTTCATCAAATCACTGCCTTATTCATTCATTCATTTATATGGGTGAGTGGTCAGTAAGAGTATGAGTGGTCAAAGTGATTTTTCTCTGTCTCTTGCGCATTCATGCCAATACTAATTCTTGCGCACTCCAACCTTAGACTTTGGGGAGGGAAGAGTGTCTCCCCAACACAAATTTATCTTGCAATAATTGTGATATTCAGTCTAGGATTTATGGTAAGAAATAATTGTTCAATTATTTCTTAGTACATGTATTCAATTGTTATTTCAATATCTATTTGATTTTATTAGGTCACCTGAGTCACTCAGGTGACCTATTGCTATCCGTTTTTGTCTGTCGTCGTCCGTCGTGCGTTAACATTTAAACATTTTCAGCTTCTTCTCTGAAACCGCTCAACCAATTTCAGCCAGATTTGGTATATAGCATCTATGGGTGAAGGGGAACAAAATTTTTGAATTTCATGGTTCCTGCCCCCCCCCTCTTGGGGCCCCAGGGGTGGGGCTTAAACCACAAAAATTGATGCAATCTTTAAAAATCTTCTGTTTTACTCCTGGACATCAAGCAATCAAACTGTTGGCATGATTGTAATAAGCATTGAGCCCTCTACCAAAATTGTGAAATTCATGGCCCCAGGGTCAGGGGTTCTGGTGCTACGGTGGGTCTATATAGTGAAAGTGCATTATTTCTTTGAAATTCTTCTTCTCTGCTCCTGGGTATGAAATAAACTAACTAAGTACATAGTTATAATGAGCATGACTGCCTCTTCCAAAATTTTGAATTTCATGGCCCCTGGGTCAGGGGTTCTGGTGTTAGGGCGGGGCTCTATTGATTATATAGTGAAAATGCATTATATCTTTGAAAATCTTCTTCTCTGCTCATGGGTATTAAATAGATTAACTAAGTACATAGTTATGATGAGCATAGCTGCCTCTTTCAAAATTGTGAATTTCATGACCCCTGGGTCAGGGGTTCTGGCATTAGGGAGGGGCTGTATTGATTATATAGTGAAAATGCATTTAATCTTTGAAAATCTTCTTCTCTGCTCCTGGGTATGAAATAAACTAACTAAGTACATTGTTATGATGAGCATGGCTGCCTCTTCCAAAATTGTGAATTTCATGACCCCTGGGTCAGGGGTTCTGGCATTAGGGAGGGGCTGTATTGATTATATAGTGAAAATGCATTATATCTTTGAAAATCTTCTTCTCCTGCTCATGGGTATTAAATAGATTAATTAAGTACATAGTTATAATAAGCATGACTGCGTCTTCCAAATTTGTGAATTTCATGGCCCCTGGGTCAGAGGTTCTGGCATTAGGGCGGGACTCTATTGTTTATATAGTGAAAATGCATTATATCTTTGAAAATCTTCTTCTCTGCTCCTGGGTATGAAATAAACTAACTAAGTACATTGTTATGATGAGCATGGCTGCCTCTTCCAAAATTGTGAATTCATGGCCCCTGGTTCAGGGGTTGTGATGAAGGGGGTTATGATGAGCAAGGATGCTTTTACAAAATTTTTCAAACTTGTGGTCTCAGGAGTTCTGCTGTTTCTCTAAAGGGGGGGGGGGGCTATATTTGATTATATAGTGAAAATGTGTGAATTCTTTGAAAATCTTCAACTAATTGCGTAGTTATGATGATGAGAGTACCTCTTCCAAATTTGTAAATTTTCATGACCCAAGGTCATGGGTTCTGGTGTTAGGGTAGGGCTGTGTTAAGTAGTGGAAATGCATTATTTCTTCAAAAATCTCCTCTGCTCCTGGGCATATTGGAAGCAAACAGAGTAAAAGTTTTAATGAGCAAGGATATTTTTACCAGAATTTTGAACATCTGGACCATTTAGTGAAGTGTTCTGGTCCTGGCCAGGGCTCTATTAATTTGTATTCTATTGAGTGAAGTTATTCCCCTTTGCCATTCACTTTTGATAATTAATCACTGTAGATAATGTATTGGAAAGGTTAATAGAATAAGAGAATTACATGTATGCAAGAACATTTATAATGTAATACAAAAAGTACTTTCATAGTTTTAATAATCAGGTAGACTTGGAAATAATAGATGAATAAAAATGAAACAAAAATAACTTATCTTCTTAAATTCTTCAAAAGCCAAGTGAGGCAAATTGATGTTAGAGGTAATAACATAGACATTTTATTAAAAGTCTGCATGGTAATAGTGACAAATAGAAAGATACTAGACCAATTATTTGGTTGATCATAATCATAGTATTTTTCTTGCTATTGGGCAACAAAGCTTCATTTATCAGTTTATGGATCCAGTTTTAAGGACCTTGGGCCTCTTGTTTTATTTAAATCAACTATTTTCTGTATTATTAGGTCACCTGAGTCACTCAGGTGACCTATTGCTATCCGTTTTTATCCATTGTCGTCCGTTGTGTGTTAACTTTTGGACATTTTCAACTTCTTCTCCAAAACCGCTCAACCAATTTCAACCAATTTTGGCATCTATGGGTGAAGGGGAACAAAATTTGTGAATTTCATGGCCCCTGCCCCCCCCCCCCCCCCCCCCGGGGCCCCAGGGGTGGGGCTAAAACCACCAAAATTGATGCAATCTTTAAAAATCTTCTTCTTTACTCCTGGACACCATGCAGTCAAACTGTTGCCATGATTGTAATAAGCATTGGGCCCTCTACCAAAATTGTGAAATTGATTATATAGTGAAAATGCATTAATTCTTTGAAAATCTTCTTCTCTGCTCCTGGGTATTATTTAGACAAACTAAGTGCATGGTTATGATGCACAAGGATGCCTTTTCTAAAATTGTGAATTTCATGGCCCCTGGGTCAGGGGTTCGGGTGTTAGGGCAGGGCTCTATTGATTATATAGTGAAAATGCATTAATTCTTCGAAAATCTTCTTCTCTGCTCCTGGGTATTATTAAAACAAAGTGCATGGTTATGATAATCAATGATGCCTTTTCTAAAATTGTGAATGTCATGGCCCCTGGGTCAGGGGCTGTGGTGTTAGGAGGAGACTCTATTGATTATATAGTAAAAATGCATTAATTCTTTGAAAATCTTCTTCTCTGCTCCTGGGTATTATTTAAACAAACTAAGTGCATGATAATGATAAGCAATGATGCCTTTTCAAAAATTGTGAAATTCATGGCCCCTGGGTTGGGGGGGGGGGGGGGTCTATTAATAATATAGTGAAAAAGCATAATTTCTTTGATAAAATATTGAAAATGCATTATTTCTGTTAAATAATCCTGTCTGTCCCTTATTGTTAATAAACAAAGTGCATAGTTATGATGAACAATTGTGCTTCTTACAATTTTTTTTTAAAACTTGTGGTCCCAGGTTTTGGTGTTGGGGTGGGGGGGGGGGGGCTATATTCATCATATAGTGAAAATGTGTTAATTCTTTGAAAATCTTCAACTAAGTGCATAGTTATGATGATGATGAAGGTACCTCTACCAAATTTGTGAATTTCATGACCCTGGGACATGGGTTTTAGTGTTAGGATAGGGCTGTGTTGATTCTGTATTGAAAATGCATTATTTCTTTGAAAATCTTCTCTGCTCCTTGGTAAATGGAAGGCAAACAGAATAAAAGTTTTAATAAGCAAAGATATTTAACCAGATTTTTGAACATCAGCACCATTTGGTCAAGTGTTCTGGTCCTGGCCAGGGCTCTATTAATTTGTATTCTATTGAGAGAAGTTATTCCCCTTTGCCATTCACTTTTGATAATCAATCACTGTTAATAATGTACATGTATTTGAAAGTCAATAGACTAAGAGAATTATGCAAGAAATGTTATTGTATAATACAAAAAGTACTTTCATAGTTTTAATGATCAGGTAGGCTTTTAAATAATAAATAAATCAAAATGAGACAAAAATAACTTATTAAATGTTCTTCAAAGACCAAGAGAGGCCAATGTGAGAGGTCACAATATGGAGTTAAAAGTAGTACGGAAGAACTAATACTAGTTTGTTAATTGTCTGCATTGCGATAGTGATCAATGGGGGATAGATTAGAATTTAATGTATGAGTTGTTACTGAATACTAGACTAATTATTTCATTGATCCTTATCACCCTATTTCTCTTGCTTTTGGGCAACAAATCTTCTTCTACCAGTTTATTTTATACTTTATGGATCCTCTAAATTGTTGTATTATACTCAGGTGACCGTTAAGGCCCTTGGGCCTCTTGTTCAAATTTATAAATTTAAATTATGATCCATATAAAAATGTGAGTGATGTGAGAAAATATTTACATGTATTTTAAAATACCTGTTATTCAGGTCACCCTTTTTCTTTATATATTATTTTAACTTCCATACAAATAGAATATATTATACATCGAACCCAGCAGCGGTGTTGTGTTTAATTTTAACTTTATACTTATATACTTGCAACCTGTTAATCTGCTATTAAATTGAATTTTGACATTTAATTTGATGACATTCTATTTTGGGTTACTTACTATCATTTTCATATCATAGGATTTCATGTGTAGGTAAATCAGAATAGACTATTTTGAATAACGTACATCTTCAGACTTTCTTTTTAGTGTGATCTTTGAACAGGTACCGGTGAATTAATTGAAGAGTCATGTTTCTAATTCTACACTGATGCATGTAGTTTCTTTGGATAGGTGAAACAGATACTTTAAAACAGATCACAGAATCCATGGTTTGTAAATACTTAAAATCCCATCATACAGTCTCTATAGTTATAATTACAGTGGAGCCTCATTAATTCGGAAGCTTGTGTTCCCGAGTAAATTGTCCAGATATATGAAGCGTCCAGTGTATTAATGAAACATACATGGTATATAGCTAGAAATAAATTGTTCCCCACAAATTTTGTTCAAAAGGTGAAGTGTCCAGATTATTACATCCAGTGTACATGTATTGTAAATTAAATGCTAGGAGTATTCTAATATTTCAGAAATCTGATGAAAAGGACAGCGACAAAGCAAAAGTAACACAGGGCCATATAAAAAGAACAGTGGCAAATGTTCAAACAAAACACAGAGAAATCTTCAAATTCAAAACAAAAGTCTCAGAAATTGTACACAAAGCCATGGAAATTGCAAAAGTGAATGAAAAAAGAGGGACTGAATCAGATGATGGTAGATTTGATGATGAGGGGGATGTTTTAGAAAGCTCAGTCAAAGCACAAGAAAAGACTAGTTTGTATGGAAAGCATAAAATATCTGATAATGCTTGTGATAAATTGAATGTTTTGGAATATGATGAAGAGCATGATATTGAAAAGAAAGCTGAAAATAATTCTGCTGTTCTTTCCAACAATGATGAATCAAGTCACAATTTAAACGAAAGCAAGCAGAGAAGGCTGTCCTTTAAAGATTTAAGTATACACAAAGAATTTGATTTTGAAGCAGAAAATAATGAAATAATGAATGAATCAGCTGACTGTCACATGCCAAATGACTCTGTGCAAAGCAGATGTAATGTACAAAGTAAACAAGAAAACTATTCTAGAAACAGAAATAGACGCAAAAAAGAAAGTGGTATTTCAAATGAATTTAGATCTGAACAGCAAAATATCCACGATAAAATAGGTACAGAAAATGAAAAAAGAAGTGATTTTTCTAAAAACAGATTGGTGAGAAGTTCATCTTTCCTTGGAAAAGTACACTCTTCCAAATTAAATAAGATTAGGAAACGACTGGATGATGTGAAAAGGTCTGTTCCAGAGGATAGCTTGTGTTCTTGGAAAAGTTTTCTAAAGAAACGTTCAGTAGTCAAGAAGCATGTTTTCTATGGACCTGTTGATAGTTCTAAAGCAGTAGTTGGTATGTTAAAATTTTTCTTGTTTAATGTATTGATCAATACATTTAATGTATATAGAACATTAAGCCATTGTTTGCAGCGATATATGTGGGGGGGGGGGGGGGGGTTGAGGTATGGCTCCTGTTGATGCAACATTGGTTGGTAATTGTTAATTTTCTGTTTGTAGATGACATTTTGAAGAACTTTTTGAGTGTTACATGTTGAAGATATCACTTAAAGAACGACAAATTACAGCCACTGATGTAGCGTTACAATGTTGGATGTTCTCAAAGTAAGTTAGCCTTGGAAAGGGGGGTGCTGTTTAACAGTAGGCTCATTTCATCCAACCATATAGTATTTTTTTTTTACCTATCAGTTTGCCTGTGAAATTGCTATAGGAAGAGCAGTCTTAGAAATTTTTATAATTGAGTAGAGTAAACATGCATAAAGGCCAACAAGTTTTAGAGCCAGAGAATACTGATTTAACAAGGCCGAGTCTAATTAGTTCTACCCTAGATATTTTAGTAAATTTTCTTGAATGAATTTTTGCTATTATATTAATTATTTTAAGATAAAAAAATCAAATGTTTACCATCCCTATTTCTTAGGGGGCCATCTCAAAAGTTGTCAAATTTACTATTGGGCCGTATGGGAATTTGTTGGAAAAGTGCCAAATTATCACTTTTTTCTCATATTTTTTGTATTTCTGTCCTAGGGAATTCCTTTTCAGTCAAATACATGAAAGTTATTGTAAAAAGTCACCAAATTGTGAAATTTCAAAAAATTCACCATCTGGTTTGGTCTAGGAATAATTACAAAGTTTATTTTTTTCAATGCCCAATACCTCTAAATTTGCCATATTGCGGCATACATTTTGTATATATCGACACAGGTGAATTATTTTGGTAAAAAATAACAATGTTAAGATTGCTGGTATGTTTCTTCTAATGTTCTGTCAACAATTTTTAATAAAATGTCCATGGACGTCTTAAATACTCGAGCGAGTCATGCGTCATACTTCAGCATCATGCATTGCTTACAGAACCGAAAACAGTGACGTGAAAGCCATTTCAGCATTTATTCCTAATTATTGTCTTAAAAACACATTTCAAGACCCAAGAACGTTACAGATAATGTAAAATAATGTTAATTTTGTATCAAAATTATAATACTTGGATAGGTGTTATGTTGCACTTACAACTGCATAAAACTAAAAACCTGTGCAAAGTCATGCGCACTCGAATTAGACTCGGCCTCGTTAATTGATAGAGTCACAAATTGTAAAGATATATATTGTACATGGTGTATTTATTGTTTCTCCAAGCAATTGATTTGGAAATAGAGAGGTTAAATTATTTTTTGTTTATTCATTAATGTTGATGATTTTGATTTGAGTTGATGCTTTTTATGTATTACATGTTATTTATTTTGTCATATTGTATTGTATGTATTTTGTATACTGACAGCTCTGTATGTCTTGTCAAAACTGTTCAAGAGCTAATGACAGATTTTATTTTTGGACTTGTGAAGAACCATTTTTCATGTCTCTGTTTCCTTTGCAACATTCCTTTATAGGCAGACTTGAAGTGTTGAACAGTAGTTGAATAGTACATCTAGTGGAATTATCAAAAAAAATTTCAAACTACAATTAATAATTGTTTGTTCTCCGTATTTTGACTTTGAAAATCAAAGTATTATAAATGATACATGCAATTTTGGTCTTGTTATGAAATAACGATTTTTTTTTTTTGAGGTGCAAGGTTGGGTTCAACCAGAGGGTGTATAATATATACATGGTAAATTTATTTGTTTTTAGCTCATGGCAACATGTTTTCAGTGTTTGCATAATTCAAAATAGTTTGTGATATATAATATATATGAAATATTCTGAAACAATGTGATATTACGACTGTAGTCTGTGATAAATACACTTAAATTGTCTTTTTCTTCTTTATCTTAATAACTGTATGTGTACTATAATGTGATATTTCAAGGAGAGTACTTTGATATTTTTATTTACTTTAATTCTATTTCCTTCATTTATATTGGTACTACAATTCTTGAGTTTTTGTTGTGTAATACATGTAATGTTAAAATTTCAAATGTTTACAATCTGAAAATTAAATGTGTTGTCTGTTAAAGGTTTTTGAAGTCTTTTAAATGGGGCAAGGGATGGGTTATTCAGAGTTTTAAATCTATAAATACAAGAAATTACCATCTAAGGTTTCCTCTGCTTTTGTGTGAAATACATGCAACAATGTATGATTCTGGTTTTTGTTTTAATTTGACTTTGAATATTGCCAAAATCAAGAGAAATGCTGAATCAGCAAAAAATACAAAACATGTTTCTTCTGATGTCTATCCCATCTAATTTATTGCACTGTTAAAACACTTAAAATGTTCATCTTTATTATACCAGTAAATGAGAATAATTCTTTTAGTATTTACATTTCGTTTCAAGCTTAAATGATTTTTCATTCATCAACGTGGACAAATTATGTACCACATTGGACCTATTGGTAAATATTTTTGTAATTCTCTATAACAAATTGTTATATCGAATACAAAAATGTTTACTGATAGGTCCAATGTGGTACAAATTTAATTCATTATTTCAAATTTTTTAGGCCACCTTAGTCAGTTAACCTACTGCAATCTGTTTTTAGGTCACCTGAGTCACTCGGGTGACCTACCGGTATTGCTCTCTGTTTTGTCTGTCGTGCATTAACATTTGAACATTTTCAACTTTTTCTCTGGAAGCACTAAACCAATTTCAACCAATTTTGGCATATAGCATCTATGGGTGAAGGGGATTGAAAATTAGAATTTCATGGTCCCTGCCCCCCAGAGTCCTGAAGGGTGGGAGCTAAAACCACGAAAATTAATGCAACAGTAAAAAAACAAGATGTTTGACAAGAAACACTGATGCCCCCGTATGGCAACTTATAGCAAAGGTTAAACTTTCTCAAATGCAAATCAAATATGTTGGTACCCAAAGTAAGGTCTTGTCTCGAGGAATATACCTGTGAAATATGAAAGCTCAAGCAGCAACTATTGAAATGATATGTAAAAGGTTAAAGTTTTTCAAAAGTACATTAATTCAAACATCAAGATCAAGGTCAAATGGTCAAAATTAATGGTGCCTAAGGAAAGGCCTCACAAGAAATATACAGGTGAAATATAAAGCTGAAGCACCAATCCTTCAAAAATTATGACCAAGGTTAAAGTGTTTCAAAAGTAGGTCAAACTGTAAGGTTAAGGTCAATGGATTACAATTGTTGGTATCCAAAGGAAGGTCTTGTCACAAGGAAAAAACGTAAAATTTGAAAGCCCTAGCAACAACTTTTCAAAAATTGTGTCCAAGGTTAAAGATTTGGAAAAGTACGTCAAAGTCCAAGGTCAAAAGGTCAAAGTTGTTGGTATCCAAAGGAAGGTTTGTCACAAGGATTACATATGTGAAGTATGAAAGTCCTAGCACCAACGGTTCAAAAGTTATGGCCAAGGTTAAAGTTTTCCAAAAGTAAGTCAAACTCCAAGGTCAAAATGTCAAATATGGTGGTACCCATAAAAAGGTCTTGTCACAAGAATTAAATATGTGAAGTATGAAAGCCCTAGCATTAGCGATTCGAAAGTTAAGGCCAAGGTTAAAGTTTTTCAAAAGTAGGTCAAACTCCAAGGTCAAAGGGTCCAAGTTGTTGAAATCCAAAGGATGGTCTTGTCACAAGGATTACATATGTGAAATATGAAAGCCCTAGCATCTGCCGTTCAAAAGTTATGGCCAATGTTAACGTTTTACAAAAGTAGGTCAAACTCCAAGGTCAAGGTCAAAGGGTCAAAATTGTTGGTATCCAAAGGAAGGTCTTGTCACAGGGATTACATATGCTAGGTATTATTTAAACAAACTAAGTGCATAGTTATGATAAGCAAGGATGCCTCTTTTAAAATTGTGAAATTCATGACCCCAGGGTTGGGGGTCCTGGTGAAAGGAATGGGGCTCTATTGATTATATAGTTAAAAAGTATAATTTCTTTGAAAATATTATCTTCTGCTCCTGGTGAAAAAGCATAGAAACTAAATGTATAGTCATGGTGAACAAGAGTGCTTCTTCCAAAATTGTGAGTTTCATGGCCCCTGGGTCAAATGTTCTGGTGTAAGGTTGGGACTCTACTGATAAAGAGTGAAAATGCATTAATTCTGTTAAATAACTCTGTCTGCTCCTTAGTGTTGAGCAGATAAAGTGCATTATTATAATGAAAAAGGGTGCTTCTTACAAACTCTTAAAACTTGTGGCCCCAGGGTCAGGGATTTTGTGTTTCTTCTTGGGGGTGGGGGTTCTATTGATAATTCAGTGAAAATGTGTTAATTCATTGAAAATCTTCAACTAAGTGAAGAGTTTTGATGATGAGGGTACATCTACCAAATTTGTGAAATTCATGCCCCTGGGTCATGGGTTTTGGTGTTAGAGTAGGGCTGTGTTGAACCTGTAGTGAAAATGCAGTATTTCTCTGCTCCTTTGCTTATGGAAAGCAAACAGAGTAAAAGTTTTAATATTAAAACAAACTTATTTTTACCAGATTTTTTAACATCTGGACCATTTGGTCTAGTGTTCTGGTCCTGACCAGGGCTCTATTAATTTGTATTCTACTGAGAGAAATTATTCCCCTTTGTCATTCATTTTTGATAATCACTGTAAATAATGTATTTGAAAAGTTAATAGAATAAGAGAATTATGCAAAAAAATTTATTATATAATATGAAAAAGTACTTTCATAGTTTTAATGATCAGGCAGACTTGTAAATGATAGATAAATAAAAATGAGACAAAAATAACTTATCTTATTAAATGTTCTTCAAAGACCAAGAGAGGCCAATGTGAAAGGTTACAATTTGGGATTTAAAATAGTACAGAAGCACTAATTGTTACTAGTCTTCATGGTAATAGTGATAAGAGACTGATTAGAACTTAATTTATGAGTTATTACTGAATACTAGACTAATTATTTCATTGATCATGATTATCTATTTCTCTTGCTTTTGAGTAACAAAGCTTCATCTGTCAGTTTATTTGACATTTTGGATCCTCTAAATTGTTTTATTATACTCATGTGACTGTTAAGGCCCTTGGGCCTATTGTTGTCTGTTGGCATGCATTGTCCATTGTTCGTCGATTGTAAATTTTTGAACATTTTTAGCTTTTTCTCTGGAAGCACGGAACCAAAATTTTCAAAACATGGCCCTTGGGTCAGGAGTTCTGTTGTTATAGGGTGAGGTTCTATCAATTATATTATGATTATAGCAAAATTGCATTGGATTAAATAGTAAAATTGCATTATTTCTTTAAAAATATTTTTTGCTCCTGTGTATTTGGGAGACGTACTAAGTGCATGGTTATAATGATAGGCAGGGTTGCCTATTCCAAAATTTTGAATTTTATGGCCCTTGGATCAGGGTTCTGGTGTTAGGGGGACTCTGTTGGGTTATAGTGAAAATGCATTATTTCTTTGAAAATCTTTTCTTTTCTGCTCCTGCATATTAAGTAAACAAACTAAATGCATAGCCATGATGAGCAAAGGTGACACTTCCAAAATTTTAATTTCATAGCCCCTGGATAAGGGGTTCTAGAGTTATGGCAGGACTCTCTTGGTTCTATGGTGAAAATGCATAAATTCTTTGAAATTCTTATCTGTTTCTAGGTATTTAGCAGTTAAACTAAATGTATGGTTCTGATGAGCAATGGTGTCTCTTCCAAAATTGTGAATTTCATGGCCCCTGGGTCAGGAGGTCTGATTTTGAAAGGGCAAGGGGGTCTATTGATTATTCAGTAAAAATGCATAAATTCTTTGAAATTTTTTTCTTCTGCTCCTGGATATTTAGCAGATAAGCTAACTGCATAATTATGATGAGCAGATTGCATCCTCCAAAACTTTGAAATTTGTGACCCCAGGGTCATTGTTCAAGTGAACCACTTGACCAAGTGTTCTGATGCTGGGCATGGCTCTAATAATTTGTATTCTGCTGAAAGAAGTTATTTCCATTTGTTATTCACCTATGATAATTAATCATTTAATCATTGTAAATACATGTAATTGAAAAGTCAAATTTAATAAGAGATATAAAAGGATTTTTATAATACACATGTATATAATACCAAAAGTTCTTTCATAGTTCTTAATGGTCTAGTAAACTTGTTAATTATAGAAAAAAATATACCTTTGTACATTAAATGATCTTCATAGACCAAGATAGGGCAATATGGGAGGATATGAGATTGGTTTACCAACAGTGCTCAAGCACTATTGTTAAATTTAGTTTACAAAGTAATGGTGACAAGTGGGAGCAGGTACAGATAAGTACATATAAATTGATCTATAGTTAATAGATTTATTAAGGAGTACTAGACTAATTATTTTGTTGATCCCTAATCATTATGTTTCTCTTGCTTTGGGGCAACATAGCTTCATCTATCATTTTGCTGTATTTCATACTACAGTGTTTGTATTGTACTCAGGTGACCATTAAGGACCCTCTATACACTGATGAAAAATGTTTTTGGGACTTTGAGAAAATTATTTAGCATAAAGGAGGATATTTTGAAATTAACTAACACATTTTTAATATAGGGAGCGTGCCTTTTTTATTCAGGAAAAAATCTTCAAAGACAATGAAGTAATAGAAAAAAAATTGCCTTCACTTACTCAAATGGCTAAAATACATGCAAATAAAGTTTTCAAATACTCTATCTTGGTCTAATATAATGTTTATAATACTTGTATTTATTTCAAATTATGTGATTTAGTTCAGATTACAATTTATTCTACTTGTATGTCAAATGGTAGGTCAGTCTAATTACACAAAAGTACCCTGAAAATAGGGTGCAGTGTAGAGAGGGTCCTTAAGACCCTTGGGCCTCTTGTCTTAATACGATATAATGAATTGAATTCAACAATTTTGCTATAATAAATTAAATTCTTACAATGAATTAAGACAAGAGGTCCATGGACCTTAACAGTCACCTGAACACAATACAACTACAGTAAACTGATAAACAAATTTATTTTAAAACAAATTCTTAAAGAAAGAGGGCGTACAAGGCGAGGACAATACCCCACTCTGAGACCATATATTTCTCAATTTTCAAAGTTCGCAGAAAAGTTATATTTTTCTAAAATTATGTTTCCAGTAATGTCATCTTCAACACATATAATTCATTTATTTTGTTTAATGACTTATTAGTTGATAAATTTGTTTTTAAAGTTGACAGTTAACTATATTTAGTAGAAAATGTGGTTTATTAGAGTCATAAAAATTATTTTTGAATATGAATGGGTCAAGTATCCATTGTTCATTAACGTTTAAATGATGGAAAAGTAAATGTAAAATCTATTTCATGTTTCAAAAAAATGGAGTTTGAACCCATTCTCTATGAAAATCGAGCATTTCTGAAAAAAAATACGCTTCAACAAACTCATTTATTTAAATCACACAGACACCGAAGACAAGTAGACTTCGTAGCGTAGTGGTTTAACGCGTTCAGTCTTTTGCCTAACCGTGAGCTTTGGAGAGAGTTCGAACCATGCTTGAAGCTTTTTTTTTTCTTTTTCACATACCTTAAAATATGAGTGAAAAATAAATTATTTATCAATAATTTATTCAATAAAGAAAAGGAAGCAAATGTATAAAAGAAGATATTGACAATACAATTTTTGAAAAATATAACTTTTCATGAACTTTTAGAAATGAGAAATGTCTTTTCTCAAAGCGGGGGATTGTCCTTGCCTTGTACGCCTCCATTCTTTGTTATCTGACAAGCAAAATTTATATATATTTATATATGTAAGTAATCATTCAATCCAATTTCGTTGGGGGGGACCTTTCTCTTACTTTTTGGTACATTTTTTTTTCAAATTCTGGAATTTGCCAGTGACATTACGGCAACGAAAAGGGGGGGGGGGGGGTCGCCAGCATCTAAATGAAAATTTACTAATGCAAATACTCAGAAAAAAAGGGACCCCCCCCCCCTTTCCACATTCTACTGGCCTTGGATGATCTGACCTAAATATTCCGAATGAGTGAACGGATAAAAATATCTCATTGATTATTCAAGGTATTTTTTCTCTCTTATTTATTTAATTATTTATTTTATTTCATTTTTGACAAAATACAACTAGATTTCAGATTTCGCGCCATTTGTCGCACTTTGCTAATTATTACAAGGTTACTTCCCTTGGCTGGGTTGGAAACGACAATGGCGGCGATTGATATTTGATAGGGGAAGGTATAATGCCCTGATAGTATAATGCCCTGATTGACCTGATCACATTTAATTCTAAAATATGAAAAAGTAAAGTGCCAAAACAAGTTTCTTTCAACTGATTATATTTAGGATATTAATTGTCTATAATATTCATGAAAGAAAAAATTAAAAATATATTTTTTATTTTGTTTATTTGACAGATAAAATTGACAGGGGTATAATGCCCTGATTTTGGGGTATAATGACCTGATGATGTGATAATATGAAAACCTATAATAAAAGCAAGTTTTCATTATATTTGTTTCACTTTTCAATCTGATTTATTTTCAGTAGGATAAATAAAAGTTTAAAAAAAAAATTGGGAAAATATCTATTTTCTATTGCTGAAAAGCTGCTCTGGAGAAGTTAGCAGGGGTATAATGTCCTGATTTTTGAATGCCCTGATTTTCAATAATGACCTGATTTAAATACTTATGTCTATACTCATTCATTGCAACTAATGAAAGTGTGAATAATTCCTTTATAATTTGATTTTTGTTTTAATTTATGTCTTTTATTATTTTAAATTCTATTAAGATTTGTTTAAGTTGATACAATATGCATAATACACATGCATTTTATTGTAGAACTCTTAGCCATTCATTTTATTATATTGTGCTAATGATTTATATCAAAACAATCCAAAATCTTAGTAGTTAACTGTGATAGTTTTAGAGAAATTGAATAGAAATGTTTTTAAATGATCAAAATATTGATATACAGGCTGTGGTAGCCAAAACATTATTAAAAAAATAAGTATAAAAATAATGCAGATATTTTAAATATGGCCTGAGGTAACTTAATATTTTAAACTGTGGAAAAAGATAGATATAATTTATAATTTTTTTGTTTATTTTCATTTATTGTTTTAAAAGTTACGAGCACTTATGTGCTGATGGAAAATTTACTTAGTAAAAATATATTTGAATAACAAATTCAGTTTTGTTGGTCAGATGTGTTTCTTGTAAAATGAATGAAGTCTCTTGTGGAAATAATTTTAAGTAAGGATAAACAAAAAATGAACATGAATGTATGCTAATATTCTTTAATTCTTAATGCAAGGTACAGACAGTACAACAAAATAAATGGATCAATTGAAAAAAAAAAACCAAACCAACAAACAATACACTGTTTGGATAATCATACACTGCTTGTTTATTATGTCTGATAGTGTCAAAGGGACATAGACCATACATATCCTGTGTACTATATCCCGTATATGGCTTCTGTAATTATCACCTGTATAATCCCAGTCAACCATGCCCTGCTGACCGCATATTTCATAAACAAACTTGATAGAATCTAATTTTTCTGATTTAATTTTTACACATTATATAAAAGACAAAATTATTTATTAATTAATTATATACATTTGAATTTATATACTTTATATAATGAAGTTTTTGAATCTGTCTTAAAACTATTAGGTGCTAAACAACCTAATTGTATATATATCACATAAAAATTTGTTTCTGTAAAATATGTTGTTAAACTATAATCTTATTATTTATAAGAAAATATCGCAGACACATTAACTTTTGTTTAATTCATAACATGCATGTAAAACAAAGTATAAAAATATATACCGGATCATTTGAAAGACCCGTCAAAAAAAGTCAAATTATTTTACGATATCAGATCCTCAATTATAAACAAGCCATCAGGCCAATTCTAAATGGCTGCATATCATATATTATTCAAATTTGTTAAATATACCAGTAAATTTTTTTTTAAATATCTCAGGTCACCTAAAATCATCAGATAGACCGAAATATAAAGTATGTTAAAACTTTAATCAGTCGAAATATCAGGTCATTTCAAAATAAATTTCATCTTGGATTGTTGCAAATTTTTATAGGTATTAAATTACATGTAATAGTTAAGGTTGTGTTATGGGGAAAAAATGTTGTGAAAACATAGGAGATCATTTGAATTTTTTTTTTTTTTTTTTGAAATATGAGGTTTTTGGATGTGTGGAAAATGAGGTCAGGTTATTTTAAATGCAATTTTTTTTTCTTTAATTGTTGCCAATAATGATTTTTAAATATTCAGATATGCTTTATTTATATAAATATGAACTTAAATTGTTTTAATAGATATTAAACTATCAAGTCATTCCAAAATATCAGGTCATCAGATTAGGTATCTGGTCATTTCAAAATATCTGCAGCTAGGTCATCAATTTTTTTTATTATTATAATAAAATTCTAAGAAATCATATCCTCTGAAAGTGTACATAAATACTAGTAAAGAATCATCAAATATACGTTTTCAATAATTCCCCAAATAAAATGTGATTTTTATCATCGTCTTTAAAGATTGTTCTGTATATTTAATTTAATTATTATCATTATATGTATGCATTGTTTTACATAATATCAAGATGCTTCTTTGTATAGGCCAACATTTTTCTCAGAAATATATTGTTTTTCAGTATATTATTTTTAATAATATCTACGTAAGGTTATATAACTTAATTAAGATTTTCATTGAAGCGAGTAATTCAATCATGCATTCACACACATTTACACGTAAATCAGGGCATTCAGAAATCAGGACATATTATACCCTTTGTATACTTCAAAAGTGATTTTGAACAAAGTATAGTAGATATTTTCTCCCACACTTAATTAAACTACTTTCATATATAATCCTTAAAAGATATTTAATCAAATTGTAATATGAAAATTATGCTGAATTGGGTTTAATAGCAGTTTTTATACAATCAGGTCATCAGGTCATTATACCCCAAAATCAGGACATTATACCCCTGTCAATTTTCTGTATCAAATAAAACATAATAAAAGTATTTTTATTTTTCATTTTCTTCATGATTCTTATAGAAAATTATAATATTCATCGTTTCCAATAAAAATAATATTGTTTATGCACATAAAAACTCTTAATTTCATTATATATATGTAATCAGGTCAATCAGGGCATTATACTATCAGGGCATTATACCTTCCCATTTGATAGTTCTTTTTCTTTGTGAAATGGGCGTCCATAGTGATCCAACAGGTAAGCAAATATTTCTGATTTTATATATTATATTCATGTGCATTGTATGTATTTTGATCATGTTTTTATGAAACTTGAAGAGCAGAAAGCAATTCTTAGGGCCAAAGACGAGTTTCAACTCGTATAATCCAGATTTCCTCTGTTTTTGTTGATGCATAAAAATATTCAACAGAGAGAGAGAAAAAATGAAGTATTCTGAAAAAAAGATTGAGAAACGGCTTAGAATTCTTGACTTATTTATTTGTATATATAAATTAGTATAGGCCTATATGTCAAATAAGAAATGTGCACTGATAATGAGAACGACTTATATATACGTAGCAATCACAAAAAAAATAAATACACTCTTACGATCAGTGAAAAAAAAGTGTGATGTACAAAGTAAATACATTATAGATTATCATTGTTATTCATATAAATAATCTCATTAGTAAGTATGTCTTGTTAGTTGTATAAGTAAAACCATTTTAATATAATAAACAGGCCTATAGTCATGATAGTAATTCAAAAGAAGTGCTTATTCACTTCTTCAGGTTCCTCCAAAATGGCCAATAATGCAAAGAACTTGAGAGGACAGCTGGGACTTAGGAGTAGTGGTAAGTACACAGTGTAAACAGAAGCTATCAATTAAATCATCTGAAAAGCATAGAAGAAAGCCTTTAAGCTGTATGTATATATTTTTACTAAACTTATCTTTTTGTGTAAATTTGTTAAAGTTTAGTCAAAGAGCTATCATAGCTCATGTTTTTTCTTATACTGTATACTATATGCCGACTATAAATAAAATTTACTTGACTGGAATTGACTTGAATAAATTACAATTAACTTTGCATTTTCTATGGGACCAGGCCAAATAAAAAAATATCTGTGTTTCCGGTAACATGCCCCCTCCCCCCCCCCCCCCCCCCAAAAAAAAAAATTATGGTAGGTAGATGGGTAATAATTTTTTTTTACTTTACTTTTTATTTTGAAAGCATCAGTTAATTATTCAATAATCTGTTTTTGTCATATATACATACACATTTATAAATAAACATACACATTAAAACAAGTGTACTCTTAAAACACTTGAATAGACATGTTAATATGTTGACGGTCATTAGGGGAAGCACAGTTACACTTTCAACTTAGGTCCCTCTATTCAAACCAGACGAGACATTTGGAACGTACAGACTACAATGTCACCTGACAACATATGTTTCCTGCATTTTCCATATTAACAATTAAAGTCTGAAGAGAGCAAATTTTTTACAAAAAACGTTTCATCTACTTTCTAACTGTAATATCCATGAAATTGAGGTGAGTTTATTTTTTGGTGAACTTTTGATTGTTGTTATGGTAAGAACAAAGTTAACAGCGAGATGCATTTACGTTGCATTGTAGGTCTCTAGGTATAAACTGTGGGAAAAAAATTCATTTGGATCAATGTGTGAAGTCCCAATTTTCTCTTTCCCCAGGCGTTGTCGTTAGAGCTCGCAGTATGAGTGGCGCTTCACACTGCTCGCTGCGCTCACTATTACAGTAAAACTTGGTTATAACGAAGTCACTTGGACCTGTGAAATTACTTCTCTATATCCGTAATTCTTTATATCCGTATAAGGAATTCATCAAATTTATATAGCTGGGGCTCCAAGAAAACTTCGCTATATCCATGAATTCGCAATATCTGTGTTTGTACTAAATGAATTTTACTGTATTGTGTCTGAGACCTGCATTTTATTGACTGCAGCATGAGAAAATTGTTCTAATGAACCTAAGTACTGTTCAAAATCCAGAATTTGAAGAAAAACATATTGGGTCGGTGGGTAAAAAATAGGATCAGTCAGGTTACTTGAAACACACATTTTTTTTTAGCCCCATCAAAAATTCAACATTATAACCTATAAATATATCCTTCAGTCAGAGTTGTTTACATGTATAATGATAGAATTCTGTTACACAATTCACACAGTATCTTTTTAAGAGAGAAAGAATTTATAACTGAAAACTATTTACATTGTTTTATAGCACTGGCCCCAACTTCCAGCAAACTGACGACCCAGTACATGGTCATGGACCACATGAAAAATCACTACAGCAAAATCACCAATGCTAAACGTAAGTATGGAAAGTAACTAAAAGTATTAAAATGAATAGTCATAGATGAGATGAAAAATCATTTGAACAAAAACCCTCTAGGCTAAAGAAGTTTCATTTATTTTGAAGTAAATTGCAAAGGACCACATGAAGTACATGTACATGTAAAATCATCAATCAACAGTAATCATGAAGTGCACAGGGATTGCATATGATAAAAAAAATCATGGCGTTGCAGAGTCCAGTAATAAATGTACTAAGGAGAGTAAGAGAGTGTTTATAAATGTGGACCATTAAGTCACCCATACTGTACCTTACAACTACAAAATCAGTTGAATGTCATTGAAACAGTATAAGTTCCAGATAATACATGTTTTATAAGGATCTCAACCTTGTCTCATAAATTTTAATTACTTTCAGCGGCCATTGACAACAGAGCACCCAAGAGTATTTCAACAAGTCAGAAAGGTGAGAATAACTGTTAATAATTCAACCAGATATCCTTCTTATTTAAAAAAAATCTTTGTTATGTTTGATAGTTTTCAATGCTTTTAGTTGTATTAAAGTAACTTTCCTATTTGTCCTTTTAAAAGATTAAATTTGTTTTTATTAAATTACAATGTCAATCTAGACTTGAAATCACTAGGTTTTCAAATATAATTTGCTAAAGAATTATGAAATCTTTTTTTTACAATCTGTAGTAAGAGACAAAAACACAAGAGAAGGAAAACGTCGTCCTGTATCAGCCATGTCTGTAAACTACCCAGTACGTCCGTACTCAGCTATGACTGGCCATGATGAGGATATTTATGATGAAGATCAGTGGGTAAGAACAAATGGTTTGAAAATTTGATGTATAAATAAGATTGGTTGGAGAAGAGATGTGGCGATTTTATTTATTCTGAGGGCATATGTTTACATTTGTATGTTTTTAAAGAAAGAATGGTTTAGGATAGTTAAAATCATGTTCCAGGGCGATGTTGATCTGTAGTTTAAATCATATTCCAGGGCAATGTTGAACTATAGTTTAAATCATGTTCCAGGGCGATGTTGATCTATAGTTTAAATCATGTTCCAGGGTGATGTTGACCTATAGTTTAAATTATGTTCCAGGGCGATGTTGATCCTGATGATGAAGTTGAAAAACAAGTAAGGGAGATAATGCGTATGAAGCTCCAGACAAAGTCAGCAAATCAGATCCGCAGTGCAAATGCCACTTATGGTGGTTCTCCATATTATTCCAGTAGACTTGACCACACTGGCCACCCTCGTCCAGCCTCTGCTCGATCATCAGCTCGGTCAGTCCACTCTGCCAGGTACAGTATGGGGGGGACTGCCATGCCTACAAAGACCATCAGCCAGAAGACATATGATGGGGATGTCATTGATAAACACAATCATGTATTCACTCAACCAGAAAAACCATTCACTCCCCGTCTCTTGAAATCAAATCGTGTGTCCCGCATAGCACAAAGCAAATACTACACTGCTCCTCCACAAAAGAGGGAAACAAATGAAAGCACAAATGCCAAAGAAGTAGAGACTACATCATCAAACCCGAAACCCAGGGCCAAACCACGCAAGAGTGCTCCACTGGACAAATCTGGTGAGATGACTGATACACTAATGTTTGAGTCTCTACAGAGTAGAGATTTCTCTAGGTATAGTGATGAGAGAGAGCAGGTCGTTCCAAGGCTAGACATTTCTTTGGACAAAGATAATATGAACTGGATAAAGGAACAGGCAATGAAAGCGGAATTCCGATCCAAGAGTGGAAATCTCCGAACTGGAATGTCTCGCATCAATGAGGACCAGATGCTTGATTCTACTGACTTGGAACAGACTGGCAATATGACTCTGACTGGGGGATCCCTTAACAAAACAACACGGTAAATTTGATTCATTTTAAAAGGAGTAATTGTTTGAATTTAGTTTTGAAAAAAATGTTTTTTCTAATAATTGCTGATTGCATACTAATTGTAACATGGGACAAATTTTCTTAGTTTCATCAAATGCAAATCTGATATCAATGTCTAGCTGAATTTCTCTTTTAAGCAAACAGTAAATAGTACTGACCTATGCATTTACAGATCTTTTGGTACCAAAACACTTCACAGCAGCCAGAGACTGAATACAGAGTGAGTTTACCAAAAACTCTTATTTTTCTTGTGTAACCATTCCTTCTCTGTTCTCTAATTTTAATGTAGCAGTATGCACTGATACCTTAAACATTCCCTCCACTGTATACTGTAGTGCTTTTACCTGTTATCTTTTCAATGCATGATACCTAAAATTTCAGCTTGTTAAATGTAACTAGGTTGTAGAAAATTTTCACAAATTTTAGACTCTTAACATCTACAAGAGCATGACACAAAAACTCGAATCACATTTAGAAAATGTATGTACAATGAAGCAATGTCCCAATATAATCTGTATAGTATTTTCAGTAAAAGTAGAGTTACAATTTTTTGACATGGCATGAAATGAGCTCATTATCCATCATATTCTCTCTTCCAGTAGAATTTTCAAATATCCTATCTTGTAGATAGGATACTCTTGATATATAAAATAATTTTCACTGTACAAAAAATCACGGCAAAAATATGAAAAGTCACATTTTACATAAAGTACATTTTAAAAGGGAAAAAATGTTATGAAGAAAGAAATAGAACTTAAACTTTAAAAGAGAAAGTAACCAGAACACTGAGTAGAAACAGTGTCAATATTCTCTTGAACACCTTAAAGTTGTTAATTATTTTCCAGTATACAGCCTCGGAGGAAACATTCGCCTGTCCATTGAGGGGGCCCGTGCATGTCATGTGTCTGTTAGCATGGCATGCTGGTGTAAGGACTTTTGACAGAAGTGAAAATATTTTACTGAATGATTGTGATTTTCCGTTTGACACTCTAGTCTTGACTGCACAAACTTTTCTTGAGTCATACTTCAAATTGTTATATGAACCTGGTAGTATGCTAGGAATTTAACCCAGAAATACTGTGATGCATGTTAGTCATAATAGATTTTATTTTATATAGTCTTTGACTATTAGTATTTACAGATATTTTTATACTATTTATAATTGATGTGTATGCCATAAGGAACTTAACAAGTATTTAACTCTGTTTTGATTTAGAATTTAAAATTTGCAATGTTAATATAAGGTAACCCAGAAAAATTTAATCTAGTTCAAAGTATGAATTTTTCTGTAAATTTTGAAAGTTGCATTGTACATCAAAGAGCTGCAATAAAGTAAATATGTGGCCTGTTTGTGTTGTATTTTTATTTGTTGTCCAAATGTTTCAGATGAATTGTCAAAAGAAACTTTTCCATGAGTACTAACCTAGGACATTTCCCTCTCTGACATGTTGTTTCACAGTTTCTGCTTTATTGCACCAACTATTTTGCCTTTCTAATCTTTCAGCTTTAACAATCTAAAGAAACCAGCCAAAGGAAAAAGGTAACTGTGTGCATATGATGTATATTAGCAATAAGTACTTTTTGATATGTGCACACTTCAAATTTATTTATTTATTTATATTTGTTTAATTTTTTTCTTTTAGTCATTTATATATTGATATGAAAACATCTGTACTATACAACAATGAACACTCACTGTATTTAAGTTTTAACACATAACACTGCTTCCAATGAAAACATGCAATTTGATTTTTTATCACTTCTTGCTAAAAATTCCATTATTTTGACAAGGGCACTTGTGAAAGATTTCTGCTTATTTATAATTTGAGGGAATGATGATGTAAATTGTTATGTGGAAATATTGTATGCTGTGTGTAACAGAAATAGACACAATATAATGGTGGTCAGTATGAATTTGTCCTTGATTTATTTCATGGTCTTTTTGTCTTCAAATTTTTTCTGTCAAGAGTTGTAATCTATTGAGACAATTTTTCAGATTTGTAATATCAACGATTAGATAAAATTCTAGCACCAAATCATATAAACAACTTTTTTAGAGAGATTTCATGTTTGTTAGTATTGATTTTTACTACTATTATTAATCTTGACTGTTTCTGGTGATAGGGAAGAAGAGCTACAGTATGTGGAGTTCATTAAGGAGGTCACAGATGATGTTCTCAATCGAGGGGTGTTCACAGACAGGTAGAATACTGGACACTAATAATTAAAGCTCTTCAGTCTTTTGCAATTGTTTGAAAAGAAAAATTCCGCTAAATAACATTTATTTTTACTGAAAACATTTCAATTAAGTAGGTAAGACTTGATAGGCTCTTTATTATAGGATTGATTCATATTGTAGAGTGCTGAAGCAGGTGTTTGAGTCTCACATAGCTAAGAAGAAAGGCAAATTAAATGAGGTTAGTTGATCTAACTAGTTAATGTATATGTTTATATGAATTATATTAATTACTCCTGATATAATTATATATAAAACTCAGTTGCTCTTTGTACAAATTGCCCAATGCCAGCTTTACAGCAAAAGAAACATTGCTGGCCTGGCAGTAGATACTGTAAATTCCTTATTTTACGTGAGTACTTAATATTGCGAAATGGCCCAAGGGCGTCAAATCGCGGGAACAATAATTCGCGAATCGGTGATTTATCTAGAGATTTTATACACATTAAAGCACCATAAAAATAAAAGCGAGTAATTTTATTTCGCGAGTGGTGCTTCTCGCGTAATTACGCGATAATTTATTCCTCGCGTATATTTAGGAATCTACAGTAAATGACAGGTGTCGCAAAAAAATTAATAAATACATGTATCATACGATACAAATAATTGAATGTGTTTAATTAAAAACAAGATGTGTTTGTGAAACACTGATGCCCCCGTATTGCAGCTTTTAGTGAAGGTTAAACTTTCTCAAATGCAAATCAAATATATTGGTACCCAAAGTAAGGTCTTGTACCGAGGAATATACCTGTGAAATATGAAAGCCCTAGCAGCAACCATTGAACAGATATGGAAAAGGTTAAAGTTTTCCAAAAGCGAGTCAAACATCAAGGTCAAGGTCAATGGGCTATAATTGTTGGTATCTAAAGAAAGGTCTTGTCACAAGGATTACACATGTGAAGTATGAAAGCCCTAGCATTAACCATTCAAAAGTTATAGCCAATGTTAAAGTTTTTCAAAAGTAGGTCAAACTCATAGGTCAAGGTCAAAGTTGTTGGTATCAAAAGGAAGGACTTGTCACAAGGATTACACCTGTGAAGATTGAAAACCCTAGCTCCAACTGTTCAAAAGATATGGCCAATGTTAAAGTTTTTCAAAAGTAGGTCAAACTCTAAGGTCAAAGGTTCAAAGTTGTTGGTATCCAAAGGAAGGTCTTGTTACAAGAATTACACATGTGAAGTATGAAAGCCCTAGCATTAACCATTCAAAAGTTATAGCCAATGTTAAAGTTTTTCAAAAGTAGGTTAAACTCCAAGGTCAAGGTCAAAGGGACAAAGTTGTTGGTATCCAAAGAAAGGACTTGTCACAAGGATTACACATGTGAAGTATGAAAGCCCTGGCACCAACCGTTCAAAAGTTATGGCCAAGTTTAATGTGGGGAAAATATTTGTAAAACTGGGTCAAACTCCAAGATCAAAAGGTCAAATATGATGGTACCCAAAGAAATATCTTGTCACATGGAATACACATATGAAATATGAAAGCCCTAGCTCCAACCAATCAAAAGTTATGAGCAATGTTAAAGTTTTTGCGGACAAACAGACAGACAGACGGACGGACAGGGCGAAAACTATATACCCTCGAATCTTCAATACGGGGGGCATAAAAAAAATCAAGATCTAATTACATGTATTTACTTATTGAAATGAGCATGGGACCTGGATGAGCATACTTTGGGAGAATCAAATGAACATGATGGATGTGTCAGATTGATAATTTTATCTGAAGTAAATGCTTTTTAGCTCACCTGAGCCGAAGGCTCAAGTGAGCTCTTGTGATCATTGCCGTCCATCTAGCTGTCCTTCAGTCTGTCTGTTTGTAAACTTTTTACATTTTCAACTTCTTTTCAAGAACAACTGAGCCAATTTCAAACAAACTTGCCACAAAGTATCTTTGGGTAAAGGGGATTCAACTTTGTTCAAATGAATGCCTTCTTCCAAGGAAAGATAATTACAAATTAGTGAAAAATTATTGACCTCTTTTAGAAATCTTAAGAACTACTGGGCTAGAAAATGTGAAATTTATGTGAAAGCATCCTCAGGTAGTGTAGGTTCATAGATTCAGGTTTGTTCAAATCATGACTCCCGGGGTACCCGGTAGGGTAAAAATGTATATCCAGCCTTTCTTTTTCTGAGGAAAATTTTCTCGGCAAAAGTTTTCTTTTATTAAAAAAAAAATAATGTGGTATTCCTGGGGTTCGAACCCTAGCAATAAAAATCTTCAGTATCATTTTCTTTCAAGACTAGCGCGCGCGTGCCGGTGGGGCCACAATGGATGATCAAAGTTTTACATAGGAATACACTGGAAAAATCTTCATCTCAAGAAGAGCAAAGCCTTGATTGGTCATATTTGAATGGAAGCATCCTCAGGTAGTGAAGAATCAAGTTTGTTCAAATCATGACACCAGGGGATAGGATGGGGCCACAATGGGGGATGAAAGTTTTACATTGGAAAATATCTTTAAAACTCTTCTTCTTAAGAATAGCAAAGCCATGATTAGTCATATTAATTTAGAAGCATCCTCAGGCAGGTAGTGCAGATATAAGTGTGTTCCAATCATGTCCTCCAGGGTAGTGGAAGGCCACAGCCCCCCCCCCCCCCCCCCAACCTGCCCTTTTAATTTAAACTTTTCAACACTGAACTGATTTTTGCGTTTGCTAGTGAGAGTGCTCAAGTGTCAATGTTGCCCATGAGCCTCCTCTTTGTACATGTATATTTGATATACATGTATTAATAATTGTTTTAATGTTGATTGGGAAAAGGAAGAAGTAAATTTTTTTGGACTTGGTTAGTATTTGTAGGAAAAGATGCACTCTGTGCCCAGTTTCTACTTTTCACTGCGTCTCCAAATCATTGCAAGACAATATTAATTATTTTAAGAGCAGATAGGTAAAATATGAACAATTATCGATCAATTATCACCTTGCAGTACAAGTGTCACCTAAATAAATATCCCGTTCCTTGGGTCCCATGGCTAATGCCTGGGGCCATTTAAATGTCCAGGTAAAGGTGTTAATTAATAAATTATGTAATGCTTGCATACATATTGACACTTCGAGGTATCTAGGGTAAATTCCAAAAGATTGTGCATAGCAGGACTGCATTTTGCATTGGAGGGATCAAGGGTTTCGAGAGATTGAGAGTTCAGGACATCAAGAGTAAATTTGCTTAGAGGTATAGGGTTTGCGCATGCCCGACATGTAGGACGTTAATTTTTATCGGCAGCAAAAGTTGAGCCAAAAACCTGGAAATTTATTAATTTGTGTGTTGAAAAAAGTGTTGCTTGTATGTAATATGTTTTAAAGTGTGTTGGAGTGAGTTTTAAACGAAAAACAAACGAAATAGGCTCGGGAATTTGAAGGCACAAAAGTTGTGAACATATTTGTTTGTGAGCACCGGTGAGCGATATTCATACTGTGTCTTTAAACGTTTGACTGTTACAAGCATGGCTAGCCAGTTAAATCAATCAAAAAAGAGAGGGCTTGATGATATGGACACTCATACTAGCGATGGGGAGATTTCGGAAAAAACTGGAGACTTTCATATGAGAGATGTTATGCATGGTATAAATAATATTCAAAACACTCTGGCCAACCTGTTACTAAGGATAGATGGGCAAGGTCGCCATCTTGATGAAGTCACAAAGGATATCAGAGGAAAACATGGCATTCAGGAGAGATTAGAAAGTGTACAAGAACAAGCGAACGATACGATATATATAACCACTGAGCTGCATGAAAAACAGAAGAAGATGGAAAGAGAACTTAGCCGAATGAAGGATGACATAGTTCGACTGGAGTATTGTGTAAAGACTCAAAGTGAGCAAATTCTAGAGCTTAAAACTAGAGCAATGGAAGATAATATCATAGTGAGTGGAGTAGATGAAAAGGCGCCCGAGATTAAAAATCCAGAAAACCTTGCCAAGATCATTAGCAACGTGTTCACTGCAGAGATGGAGATACCAGCAGAGACTGTGGATAACCTACAGATCTATAAATTGTTCAGAATGGGTGAGTACGATAAACAACGAAAATATCCTAGGCCAATTTGTGTTCAATTTGCGAACAAATCACACAAAGATATCGTAATGAGGCACATTAAAATTCTTAAGGATAAGCAGTCACCAATAAGAGTGTCCCAACATCAACCGGAAGAAATCAGAGAAAAAAGGAAACACCTATATGATGTACAGAAACAATACGCGGACCGTAACATAGAGACCGTGTTGAAGGGTCAAAAACTCATTTTCACACAAAGCAAATCTGTGTATAGAGATAAAATTGGTAGCCGACCTATGGCCGATGAGATCATCAGTGGAGAAGAGGTAAAGATCGCGATCAGTACGGGGAAGACCACAGAAGATAATGGAAACCGGTTTGCTGCCCACTCAACGCCAGTAGATTCCTATAAACAGGTGAGGCGATCGCTTGTGGAAGTTATGCGTACAGAAAACACTGCCAGTGCAAGTCACAATATATATGCGTTCCGATTTTCCACTAGTGATGGAACAGCGCATGAGGGATCTGAAGATGACGGCGAGCACGGAGCCGGGAGAATGTTACTCAAAGCACTCGCTGATAATGATATAAATAACGCACTGGTGGTCGTCTCGCGGTGGTGTGGTAGTAAAATCGGACCCAGACGTTTCACACATATCAACGAGGTTGGGTTAAGTGCAGCAAGAAATATGCCAGTCCCCGTCTGACGCTAAAATCAAAATCATGAACAGTCACAGGTTAAATATATATTAATAGTAACTCACAGTTAACTCACAGTTAACAGTTGTGTACATTTTTTTTTAACTTTCATGGCAAATTTGTAATGCCTAAAATATTTATTTCAGTAGTTTTTCATAGGGTTATATTCATGCTGCATGTATATATTTATTTAAGTTTGTGTTTGATATTTTCCGGAATTTGCTAGTTTATGCATCGCAATTTTGGATTATTTTTAAAGTCTTGATTTCCGGTGTAGAAATCGTGCAACATGGATCGTGTTTACTTGTAAGTTTCGATCAATTTTCTACCTTATCACTCAACACAGGGCGGATCTATGTGCATAATTTCAATTTTAATCTAGTGTATAGTATAAAAATATGGTATGGATAAATATTTGTTGTAATTACATTGCAGACATATTCCGTTAATAGATATAACAAACATGGTAACTACAACAAACTGGAAAAAAAAACGAACAGGAAAGGAATTGAGTATATAGGTTTCCTCCCAACCGAAACTACTTTTCTATAATTTTAACAATTCTTTTTTTTAAGGTTAGCATAAAGTTAGGTTTTTGGTAAACTTTGCATATTTTTGAAATGACAGTAGGCGTGTTTGAGCTCAACTACTTCTTTGTATTGTATATAGATTTGAACTTTTTTATCAACTCTTTTTTTTCTTGCTGTTGGGGAACAGTAAATTTTGCTAAGCATCCACTTTGGAATGGATGACAATCCACATGAAAACTTCCTAAAAATACTTACATTAAATTGCCAAGGATTAGGGGATATGAATAAAAGGAGGGATGTCTTCAAAATTTTAAAAGGAAAAAAATTAAATGTGTATTTTCTTCAAGATACACACTTTGTTGAAAAAGATGAAAGCATAATTAAAATATTATGGGGATATAAGGCTTTTTTTAGTTCGTACAAATCAAATTCACGAGGAGTAGCTATCCTCATTAATAATAATTGTGATATGACATTAGTTAAAGAATATAAAGATGACAATGGCAATTATCTCATTCTAGATGTAACCATAGACAATCTTCCTTTTTTGTTAGTAAATATATATGGACCAAATTTAGATACACCAACCTTTTATACAAATCTTTTAAACATGATTCAAGATTACTACTCATCACAATATGTGATTATAGGTGGTGATTTTAATTTGATTTTAGATAAGGATCTGGATTCTATGAATTATAAAAACCTAAATAACCCGAAATCAAGAATGGAAGTCTTGAAGATGATGGAGACACTAAATTTAAAAGATATTTTCCGTGAAAATAGTCCAAATTTAAAAAGATTTACCTGGAGAAGAAAAAATCCAATAAAACAAGCAAGACTTGATTATTTCCTAATATCAGAATCATTACTCAATTTGGCCCCTTACGTAAAATTTGAAAATAGTTATCGTTCAGATCACTGTCCAGTTGTCATGGGTGTTAAAACAGATGAATTTCTTAAAGGGAGAGGGTTTTGGAAATTGAATAATTCTTTACTTGCTGATAAAGAATATGTAAATCTCATAAAAGAAAAAATTAAAAATATTAAATTACAATATGCCTGCCCTGTCTATAATTTTGATAATATTGACTCTATTGAAACTGATACAATTCAATTTACTATAAGTGATCAATTGTTTTTAGATACATTACTGATGGAAATAAGAGGAAAATCAATTTCTTTTTCAACTTATAAGAAAAAGAAAATAGCTGAACAAGAATTGCGATTAGAAAAAGAAATCTTAAAATTGGAACAGAACTTGACCCAAGAATCTACTGAAGAACTAGAAAATAAACATGAAGAATTAGAGAACATTAGAAAAATCAAATTTAAGGGTCAATGTATTAGGTCAAAAGTAAAATGGATAGAAGAAGGAGAAAAACCTTCAAAATATTTTACCAGTCTAGAGTCAAGAAACTATCAGAGTAAAGTTATACCTAAAATTGAAAAGGAGGATGGAACAATTATTTTTAACCAATTTGATATTTTGAATGAAGTTAAAATGTTCTATGAAAATCTTTATAAAAGTAGGGAGAATGTGGATTCTGGAAGTATTCATGACAAATTAAAAATATATGATGTCCCAAAATTAAATAAAAAAGAATCAGAAAGTCTTGAAGGCCCATTGACCAATTCTGAAGTCCTTAATTATTTGAAAAATATGAAAAATGAGAAAAGTCCTGGACCAGATGGTTTTACTTGCGAATTTTTCAAATTCTTTTGGCAGGATATAGGTGCCTTTATTACAAGAGCAATAAACAACTCATATGAATTATCACACTTTACTGAATCAAATAAGTTAGGTGTAATAACTTGCCTACCAAAACCAGGAAAACAAAAACAATTCTTAAAAAACTGGCGCCCAATCAGTTTGTTGAATGTGATTTATAAAATAGCCTCAGGCTGTATTGCTGAACGATTGAAAACCGTATTGAATAAAATAATAAATAAGGACCAAACTGGCTTTTTAAAGGGAAGATTTATAGGTGAAAATATTAGACTGGTTTATGATTTAATGCATTACACAGAACAAAAGCAGATTCCAGGCTTATTAATGTTAATTGATTTTGAAAAAGCTTTTGACACTATATCATGGAAGTTTATATACCAAACATTAGACTTTTTTAATTTTGGGAAGTCAATTAAAAATTGGATTCAAACTTTTTATAATGGAATTAAATCATGTGTAATACAGAATGGAATTTCTTCTGACTACCTGCTCCCTCAGAGGGGATGTAGACAGGGGGACCCAATTTCCCCATATCTTTTTCTAATTTGTGCTGAAGTTCTTGGGATTCTGATTCGAAATAATAAAGACATAAAAGGAATTATAATTGATGGGGAGGAATATAAACTTTCACAATATGCTGATGATACTTCAATTATATCTGATGGATCACCACAGTCTATGGATGGTATATTAAGAGAACTTGACTATTTTGCACTTATATCTGGTCTGAAAATTAATTTCACTAAAACTAAAATGGTTTGGATTGGCAGTAAAAAATTTTCCAAAGAAGTTTTTCATCACTCGAGATGGAAGTTAGATTGGAATAATTCTACTTTTGATCTTCTTGGTGTAAAATTTTCTATTAATTTAGATGAAATGGTTGATCTGAATTACCCCTCAAAATTAAATGAAATAAAGCAGTTGATAAAACAATGGCAGTTAAGAAAACTTACTCCAGTTGGTAGATTAGCAGTGATTAAATCCCTGATTATACCAAAAATGAACCATTTGATATTGACTATTCCGAACCCTTACAAGGAACTCCTAGACGAATTTGAGAAAGACCTGTACTACTTTTTATGGGGAAGTAAAATTCATAAGGTTAAGAAAAATGTTATGATTCAAGATTATAGAAATGGGGGGTTGAAAATGATTGAATATGTAGATTTTCTATGTGCATTAAAATCAACATGGATCCGAAGACTAATTAACTCAGATACAAAATGGCTAAAACTTCTTGAATCAGAATTAGGAATAAAAGTTGAATCTCTATGGGTAAGAGGTTTAGACTTTACTGTTAATATGTGTAATAAAATAAGTAACAAGTTTTGGAAAGAGGTTTTACTTAATTGGGTAAAGATCATTGACTCTGGTCAAAATAATATGCAAATTCTTCATGAACATATATGGTTTAATTCAAGAATTAAAATGAACAACTCATCCATATTTTTGAAAAGTTATTTCGATGCAGGCTTTGTTTTTGTAAGAGATCTGTTTGACTCTGAAGGAAAATTTGTAAGCCTTGAGTACCTCACAAATCTTAACGTAAAAACAAATTTTGTAGAATATGCAGGTTTAAAAGTAGCTGTTTTAAAAACATTGAAAAGTATTGATATTGAAAAAAGAGAAACTGGACCTTTTATCCCTAATTCACTTTATATTTTTTATAAAAGTACAAAAGGCTGTAAAGACATGTATAGTTTACTCATTAAGAAGAAAAAGGAAGCAATTAAGGCACTAGAAAAATGGGAAAATAATGGAATATTTTTTGGCGATATAGACTGGAATAAAATATTTGAACTTCCTTTTAAAGTAACAAAAGAAGCAAAATTTCAGTGGATGCAATTTCAAATTCTGCATAGGATTATTGCAACAAATAAATACCTTTACAATCTCAAACTAATTGATTCACCTGTATGTTCCTTTTGTAAACAAGATGTCGAAACGATTGAACACTTATTTTTTGAGTGTTTCTGCGTTAAAAAAAATATGGTGTCACATTGAGGAATGGTTTATAAATAAGTTTCATTTTACCATTAATTTTGATAGAAAGGATATACTTTTTGGCAAATTCAACAACAAAAACATGTTTAGACTACACAATATATTAATACTTACTGTTAAGCAATTTATTTTTGCTAGTAGGTTTAAAAATGTGCCTAAACTAAGCATCTCAATGCTAGAAAAAAATATTGTGGATAGAATATTAGTCGAAAAAGTTATACTTTTAAGAAACTGTAAATTTTCAGAATATGAAAAATATTGGAAAATTATTTGTGATATGATATAATGTATTTATTTTTCTCAAGTTTATATACAAATGTACAAGTATGTTAAAATACTTAATACTGTTCCCCCCACCTCACTTTTTTGCACCCTTTCACCCCCTTTTTCCTTTCTTTAATTTTATCTCTGTATATAAAGCTTTCACAGTGAATATTCATTAAAATGTACAATATGTCATATACAATTTTAATGTGATTTTGAAATGCAACATATATTTACTACAAAGAAATTATATTTAATATGAAGTATCAGGCAGTAGAAATGAAAGTATGTATTGAATGTTAACTAATATATTGTATAGTCTGTATATGTGAAAGCACAAATAAAATCTATGAATTAAAAAAAAAAAAAAAAAAAAAAAACTTCGAGCGATCAAGAACTTTGAGAGATTGAAGTTCGAGCCATCAAGAGCTACCTGTATATAAGATATATTAACAATTGTTTTAATGTTGATTGTAATAAGGAAAGAGTAAATTTTTGGGGAATTGGTTTATATTTGTAGGAAAAGATGCGCTCAATGCTCAGTCAAGTGCGACAGGATTTGGATATCAAGGATGAATCAGAGGGTGCTGATTTCTCACCACTGGACACAACTTCCTCCCTAGAGTCAAGACTCCACACCAAGTATAGTCGTGGGAGAATCGGGGAGCAAACGTTTGGATCCACTATGGACTCTCAAAACACATATAACTTCAGAGACACCTCATCAGGGGATATGTTCAGCACCATCCACTCTGAGAATGATGATCTATCTGCTACACAGGCACTCAAGAGCTACCAGTTAGACATTACAAGGCATGTAGAAAATGATGAAGGGAATGAGAGTCCAGGAGAAATTGTCCAGTCTGATGATGAACTGGGAAAGACAGCTCATGGCATAGAGGTTGATAACAAATCTGTTAAATCAAGCAAGTCTGCAAAATCATCCAAGTCAGCTCACAACAGTGCTCATCTTCCTGATGACAGATCTGTTAAGTCGGGAAAGTCATCAGGTCAACGGAGTGTAAAATCATCCAACCATATCCAGGATCATCAGTCTATAAAGTCTGAAAAATCGCAAACAAGTCAGAAGAGTGAGGGCTTTAAACCAGCACCCCGACCCAGGGCCTTGTCTCAAAATGAGGATTTCACAGGTAAAGAAGTTTCAAATATATACCAGATTAGATTAAATTTGACATTAGTACCCTATTAGTATAAACAGCTGTATGGTGAGACTCATATATTTTTGTGTGGCATATGAATTATATTCAGTTATGCTGTGTTGTGTAGAATCATCAGAAAATCAGTCCACAATACATGGAGATGATGATGAGGATGCGGAGTATGAGGAGTCGGGTACAGAAGATGGGAACAAGACCACTCACAGGACCGAGGAGGAGGACTTCTAAAGCATGGACTCCATCACTAGAGGAGCTGTTTTATTATGCCATAGGTTTCAGGAAAAAATTTATATCCAGTCAGAGAGTTTATAGCTGCACATTTTGCAGACATTCTGATTTTATGGATCATTAAATGTACATATTGGGGTTATTGTAGATATTAGGAGGTTATACACAAAAAAAAGTTATTTTTCTACAACAAAAATGTTTTCGCTACCATAGGTCATAAGTATTAAGCAGACATTTTTGAAGAATTGTTTAGTGACAATAAAGGTTTTGACATTTAGTCAATAAGATACATAGAATGATGTCTTACTGAATCTGACTTCTACAAGGAATTCTGGTTAATTTCTTTTCGGGATGCTCTGTAGATATCAGTGTTAGATGAAAATGTATGAAACTGTATCATATACATGTATGTATCCGCCTCAGTGATAGGTTTAAATTTGACAACAAAAGAGCATGACATTCACTTTAAGTTCTACAGGAATGTGAATATTTCTTTACAATTCTTGTACAGTACTTTGTTTTTACTTGGTAGATCCAGGATTGTGTTTAATATTAAGACAATACTGTTCTTTATTCAAGTTTTTCAAGGAGCAGCATTTGGCAAGTTTCAGCATCTATATGTACACATATCTACATTAAGCATTAGTTTTATATTAAATGCAAACTAAGGCCAATGTCAAAACTTTGGTTGGTTGCCCTCTCCCGACCAACTGGTTAAAAATGGCCCGATTGAAACCTTTTTTTTAGCCTCCAGTAAGCAATTTTTTTTATGCATTCCGGAAAATAAATTTTGAAAATTCAGCATTTATTTTGAAATTTTCTTTGAAAAAAAAATTCTCACCTACTTACCGACTCAATTTTGTCATCCTGAGTCGGGAGAAGGCAAGCAAACATTATTTTAAAGTTGGCCAAAGTTATTTACATTAAGGATTTTAAGGAGGGTTGTGTAGACCATATTTGGTATAGATACTCGGAGTCACATAGTGTTTCATTTTTCCTCATTATTAGTTTCAATCATCACAGCCCATATCAAAAAATAATACATAAAAGTATATTTTTAATATATTTTTAATACAATCATTTTCGTATTGTTTAAAATTAATACAGAAAAAATATATTATTTTTGTATCACCAACAAATAGGTAGATTATTTTTGTATTAAAATCTGACTTTGATTTTTTACAGGGTATTATTTTTGTATTTTTTGGGACTTAGATTATTTTCAGTATATCATTTTTGTATTTTTGTGGACTTAGTTTTTTTCAAGTGTATTTTTTCTGTATTAAAATAGAACTTAGTAATTTTACAGAAAATTACATACAGTTAATCTGTATTATTTTTGTATTAAAATTGAACTTAGTAATTTTACAGAAAATTACATACAGTTAGTCTGTATTATTTTTGTATTAAATTTGGACTTAATAATTTTTCAAAAAATACTATACAGTCAGTATGTATTTTTTTTATATTTATTTTGGACTTAGTGTTTTCTTTTACTGAAATTTGTATTTCTTTGAACTTAGGAAAATTTACAGAATGTCCTTGCAATAAGTCTGTTGGAATTAATATTTTTTCTCAGATTTTATTAATTAAGACCACTGCTATAAAGGTTGCTTTTATACTATTTACATTTAATTGCTATTTAGAACAGAAAATTTCAGTAGTTTAAATTTGTTAACTAAACAATTTCATTTTTAAAACGTCTTTACTAGGTGTGAAATTGTCATTTGGAAAGAGATAGATACGTCTAAGGGAACACCTATGCTGTACATGATAGTTGTAAACACGCGGTAAATTTTGAAGTTTCAGAGTTTCAGACTTTCTTTTTGTGTTGAAAATTTTACAGCGTGTTTACAACCGAGTGTTTACACTATCGCCAACAGCACAGGTGGCCACCTGCAGGCTTACAATAGACGAGTACATGTTATACTACTCAAAGAAATAGTTCATGATTTACCCGTGAAAACACATCCCAACCAAAAAACAAAAACAAACAACATGGAGAGTTCCACTAATTACAGTACCTACGATGTTTTCTTGACTATACAACTCAATTTAGTATACATTATATTTAATTCAGTACGTATTACAATTACATGGAATAGAACTATTTAATTATCCGCTTTTAAAAAAAAAATAAATAAGAAATTATTACGAAAGAATATCATAAAGTAATATAGAAAACGTTGTGAAATTGGTGTAAAGGATAGTTGTTAAACATTATTTCAATTTCTGGTACGTATGAGTTAAGTTGTCCGTCAAAAAGGCTATATATTATGTATCTCCCGCTCGTTTTGATCATTATATTTGAACTTTATGGTCTACTTCACAGGTCAACTTGAATATAAAAATGGCTGCTCTCAGCGGAAATGATGACCGGAAATAACGATGTTTCGTAATCGGTAAATTCCGTAAGGAATAAAAAAATGATTCTGATGATTAAATTGAACATCGTTTTTTTCTAACATAATTTTAGGTTTGTTCAATTGATTCAAGATATTTAAAACCATGTAAATATGTTTTCTCTAACTGTTCCGATCTCAACATCGGTAATTTTCGTATATATGATACAATATGATTGGTCAGATTTTAAAACTCTTCCGTACTGTTCTCTGATTGGTCAACAATATTTCACCCACGCCATTTTGAAAATTCTTCCCGGGACGTGTTGAGAAAGCTGGAGGTGATTTTGAATAAACTCTCATTTGCTCGCGAGTAAAATGGATCGAAAAACAGAAGTTCAGCATAATCATGGTACACAGGATCATATATATGAACCAAGGAAAGCAAATACATAAGGAGACTGACGTTTTTTAGGCATCATATCCGGACTTTTCTGGTGTAAACAACGACAGTTGCGGTAAGATTATGTATATTTTAGCACATTAAAGTTTCAGTTTTTTAAATAAAAACTTAGTACAAAGATAGAGGAACAAAGGATGCCTTTTTTACCCATTTGTAGTATTGTAGAAAGATAAAATAGTACGGTTATTGGCCATGTGGGGAACAAGGGTTTTTGTGATAAATTCTGATTGGGGAGGGAGGGGTGGAAGATGGGGGTAATTTTCAAGCCTTTGGCTTCCTATTTCTAATTCATTCCAATTTTTTCAAGTTTACCAGAGACGAATTATTTATTTTCCCTTCAAAAACAATTCTGTAATTTGTATAAACTCAAATTTTTTCGGGGGGGGGGGGGGTAGGTTGGGTTCGGGGGGGGGGGGGGGGGCAGTTTATTTTAATAACATTGGGGCACACATTTTGTTTACTCTTTCAACGTTTTCAAGGACAGATTGTTTATTACAAATATTTTTTAAAAAATATTATATAAATCAGCCCCCCCCTTTTTCTTCTCCAGATTGTCAAATCAAATGGTTGTCCCCTAAGAAACACCCCCGATTAAAGAAAAGTAATTTCAATGGTACAATTGTATGGAATTTGGTGAACTCCGCTGGATCTTTTGGAATTTCAATTTATAATTATTGTTAATTTCAGTCAGCAGAACATTGAAGAAAAGCTGATTAGTCATGGAGGAAGAAGATCCCTCTCAAGAAAATATTGCAGGTGTGTGAGCTAAACAAAATCTATAGAGAATTATTTTGGATGTGAAAATGTGTGTTTTGTTGAGGTAATGGTTCATTAAATTTTATTATTATATCATTCTGTTCTATATTTCACAGTGATGAAGTCAGATGAGATGACAGGTTGTGTGATTTGAAGATGGACTTCTGCAACAAAGTAAACACTCCTCTACCTTTTCCATACAAAAGAAACAGCAAAGCAGAGAGATCGAAACAGTTGGTAAAAGTACAAAGAAAACAGGATTAGTTAAACTTGTGAAAAATATCAAGACTATTGAAGAGCAGATTATATGTAAAAAGAAAGATCAAGACTAGAATTGGTAGCTGAATCAGTAGCCTGGCCACATTAATTACTTTTTAATTAGCTATTTGTACATTTAAGGTAATCTGACTGAGTTACTAAAATTGTTATTTAACAAATATTTCAAATAAATAAAAGATTTTTGAATAACAATCAATAGATGCTATTAAGAACCTCAATCTCCAACCCTTTTTCTTCAAATAACAATTTTTGCCCATGATCATTTTTGTATTTTTTAAAACTCTGTTTTGTATTATTTTAAGCATTTAAATGTATTTTTTGTCTATCATTCTTGTACTTTTTTGATATTTTTGAAATCGATCCTTCATGCTGATAAAAATACAAAAACAATACATATTAATACAAAATTAATACATTCTATATTTTTTTCATACTTTTTTGTGTACTGTATTATTTTCATATTTTATATCTTTTTTGTACTTTTAATTGTTCCAGATGAAAAAATACAAAAATAATATATGTGATACAAAATTAATATATTCTATATTTTTTTGTATTTTAATTCTTAAAGGTGAAAAAATACAAAAATAATATATGCTAATACAAAATTAATACATTCTGTATTTTTTTCTATACTTTTCTATGGACTGTATTATTTTTATACTTTGGAGAGGAAAATAGAGAAATAATACAAAAGTACAAAAACAATACGTTTTTACAGGTCATGTGTATCATTTCTGTATTATTTCGAAAAAATAAAGTATATTAAAAATATATTTTTCTGTGTTTGGCTTTTAAAAAGTCTATTATTTTTGACCTAAATTGGAACCAAGATTTAGAGGGTTCCAAATTTGGTCATTAAAAATATACTTTTTTTGTATTATTTTAGTATTTTTTTCTTGTATTATTTTTGTATTCATTTTCGATATGGGAGTGCAATGTTTCATATGTCTCAATAATTTTTTTACATGAAGGAGAAAGGGCTTTATTTGTTGATTTTAATTTATAAATTATTTCTATTGTGATATTTTATCCAAGAATACTGTTAACATGGAATTAGAGTTATAAAGATTCTCAAAATAATCTGCTGTGTGTACAGTATTCTGAGGATTCTTTTATTCCGTCCCAAGAGAAGTTCCCAGGTTTATCTCAAAAAGGATTTTCATCTGTGAATTTCATTATTTTTAGGTATCTTTGATTCACTGTATGTGTGATCATATGTATATAATTTAATAGGCCATTTCATTGCTTATTATTTTTTTATTTAGTTTTACATTTTTATTTATTTGAAAGAATATGCTATCTTCTATTTTCATTTCTAACACCACCGTCCATTGATATAGTTTCCTGTTAAATCTGAGTAAATGTCTTAAGCTTGATTTGAATTAAAGCTGTGCCTACATTTGCTGTTCAGTTTGTCATGGTTTGTGTATGTTTTTTCAATACCCTTTGTGCTTGGGAACCAGCCTGAGTACTCTTGCCCGATTCCTACCATAAATGATGCAAAATTGAAAAAATCGGAGGGAAAACTGCATCTACACCTTTACTCAATTCTGATTCTTTAACTAGGGCCCGCAAGGATTTGCGGGTGCCCTATAGTAATCACTCTGTCTGTCTGTCTGTCCGTCCACAAATTTTCTGTTTTTTTCTAATAACTTTTTTTAGGGTTGACCAATTAAGTTCAAATTTGGTATGTTGGTTGAATAGGCAGTAAGACAAATTTTGATGCTAAGTTTGGTTCTCTCTGTCATCCGGTTTGGAGCTGGGGTGGTGGGGTAGATTCCTTAACTTTAAATAAGAGTGAATAGGCAAAGAGAGATAACTGCTGAGAATGTTCCTATTGTAAACTAGGAAAGGCTGCAATGAGTCTCTTGGGATTAATTAACTTTCCTCTTGAAGAAAATCCAAAGCATTTATCTTTATCTGCCACATTGAGATAAATTAACACCTCTGTCTGCAAATGAAGTTTGTTTTGAAGTAATTCTGAATGATGTTTACATTCTCTGAAATGTGGATTTAAATAATGTTCATACTTTATTTTGGTAAAATACACAATGAGTTATGATTTTATTGAATTCTAAAAACAAGATATAGACAAAGATATCTTTTTTATTATTTTTTATTATTTTTTTTTTTTTTCTGCCTTATGTAAATTCAAGAATACTCTTTATTTTAACA